TCTTAAATCACTGACCTTGAAAACAAAAACTGGGCACCCGAAACAGTTTTGCTGAAGCACTTACATTTTCTTAGAATTACAGAATTGCGTACGTCCTTCATTATTGTAAACATCTGTTGACAAATAAACACGAAAACAAACTTAATTTAATGTAACAATTAATAATAACACGAAAATTAATAGTGTGTGTGCCACCCACGAGCTAAAATAACCTCATGTAGTCGACGCGGCATCGTACTGATTAGGTCCGTAATTGATTCCTGAGGAATTGCGGCAAACTCTTTTTCAAAAGCAATTCGTAACTCTTGAAGGGTGTCCGGTAGGACAGGACGACGACGAATGCGTCTCTAAAGTTTGTCCCAAAGATATTCTACAGGGTTAAGGTCCGAGCTGCACGCTAGCCACTCTATCCGTTCAATACCTTACTTCATCAAGATATTCGTTAACCACACGTGCTACGTGCGTCGCGCATTGTCATGCATTAGCATGAATCCGTCACCAAGAAAATGGGAATAGAACCTCCATGGAAAGGTACTCTTTCCGAAATTGTGCAGGTCGCAAACCTTTCATTACGACGTCTCCACACTCATTCTCGACCATGAGAGAAAATCGGGACTCGTCAGTGAAGAGCACCTTACCCCATTGTTCCATTCCTTAATTCATATGTACGCGCCCAAATTGAAGACGTGCTCGCCAATGTCTCTGGAGCAGCGAGGTCTTTTGGCAGGTCTTCTTGCAGTCAGATCACCTTCATCAAGTCTTTGATGAATAGTTCTTTCACTTACGTCAACCCCACGCACCATTTGAAGACAATCCCGAGTTTCTATAGCTGTCGTTCTACGATTCCTCAGAGTGTTTAGAACAATAAATCGGCCATCAACTGCTGTTGTCACTCGTCTTCTACCGAAACATTGCCGCCTAGTGAAATTTCCTGTTTCCATATATTGGTTCCAGGCATCCTGAACTGTTGTTCGGGGTATACCCAAGGTATGGGCAACGTATTGCTGACTTTTGCCATCCTCAATTAAAGTAACAATACACGCAACATCAGTTACTGACAACGGGATTGCTATTATGTTAAAAGACTGTAAAAATCTTTAACAACTGTCAATTTACTATTCGAAACAAATGACATGCTATCTAGCGCGCCACCTTAGATTTTTTTATGCTTGTTTGTCTTGTTTTTACAGGCGTTCGGTTTAAAACACTGCATCTTCGTTAGTAATAGAGATAATAGAGTGAATAAAAAAACAAGATGTTCAGAAAAGATTAGCCTACCGTTTGATTCCAGTTAACACCATCTGCTGTAGCAGTTGCACCCCGCAGAGTATTACAAATTTCGAGAAAAAAAAGTTTTTCTCATTCTTGCAGCCCGTATTATGTCCAAATTAAAATCTAAATGAAAGTTTCTATCGCAGGATTATTACCGAAGAATCAACTTTTCGACCAAAGAAACAATCATCAAAATAGAATGCGCGGTTCGCGAGAAAGCCAGCTTTGAAGTTTTGGCTAACTTATAGTGGCCGGTTTTTTTTGCCGGTCAGTTTATTTTTCTTCAACTCATTGGACAGAGATTGTTTTTCGTGAATCCATTGATGTACAATACATCCATTTTGAATGTAATTTTAGCAGAGAAAAGACAACCTGTATACAGGATGGTTCAGTTTTTAATCGGAAAACTTTACTAGGATGTAGTACCTGCCAAAATAACACAAATTTTTTATATAAACATAGGGTCGCAACTTTTTTGTTTCCGACCTATGAGCTGTCAAAAATTTATATTTTATCTTTTATTTCGGGTATATGTAAACCGTAGAATTTGATTCTGTAGTACATATCTTATTTATATCTTATTTTCAACCATATCTTAAACTTCCCTAGCGCCCTCTAAGGGGATGAATTTCACAACCAAAGGGATTGTGTTTTTTTATAACAACTTTTCAACGCCATGGAATATTAACATAAAAAAATATGGGTTGTAAAGCTTATTCATTATTGGTACTTTCTTGTCTCTTTAGTTTTTGCCTTAAAGATAATAATAAATTTTAGCGTAAAAATTATTATGCAAAAGACTAGATGCTAATTGATGCCTACATACTACTGATAGAAAACTAGTTAGCAGAAAGTTAGATACTACTTCCAGAAGACTACATATTGCTGGCGGAAAACTACATGATGTTGGCAGAAAACTGGATATAGCTAATAGATACTAGGCGAAGGTTAGACACTGCTAATATAAGATTGCAAACTGCCGACAGAGGACTAAATACTGTTTTGGAGAAGTATATACTGCTTTCAGAAAAATAGATTCGGCTGGTAGAAGACTACATAGTGTCGACAGAAGATTGCTAATACAGATTGCGCACTGCTGGCAGAAGAATACATACTGCTGGTAGACGGCTAGATACTACTTACAGAAGATTACATACTGTTATCAGATGTTAAAGAGGCGTTGAAGAGGTTTATGAAAGATGGATGGATGGATGGGCGAGCTGACCTTTTCCAGTAAGGTCACGTCAAAATTCTACTGTTCGTTACACATATAAATCTTAAATAATATCTAACTTGGAAGTATATCAATTGCTTTTCAAAAAACTCTCTTTAGTTAATTAAAAACGCAACGATAAATGAAACACACCTGATTTAGTAGATTAGGTTAAAGTTGGTAAAGTAAAATTCTAATTCTGACAAGTATTAAGACAAACTTTCTTAATACGTTTTATGAAAATGAACGTTGCTAATGAATTGAACCCAAATTCTCAATATAAATCCTAAAAAATCAAACAGGTTTACATCACAACACACGCAAGTAAATAGCTCATAAAATAAACTAAACTAAACAAATACATCAAATATGTAAAATATTTATGAAGTTATGGGGTCATTGGAGCATGGGGTACAAGTGGTGCAAGCATTGAGCCGCCACCAAGCTCAATCTTCTCTTCCACTTACACTTAACACATGTTATTTGTTGTTTCTTTTAGGTAATTATGTAAGTGGGTGTTCTTGATAAAGTTATTGAGTTCGTAAGACATCTAACGTTAAGTTCACTATAAAAAAAACTATCAGTCAACCTTAAATCTCAAGGTCATTTCAGAATATCTTCTGCGATATCCAGCAGATTATGAGAAAAAGCGGTATACAAGGGGAGCTTCGCTTCATCAAACCACAAAGCACTCCTCGTGCGATTTTTCGCAGTGACTACTTTGGCTGATTGGATTGTCAGAGCATGACATGGTGTAGGCCGGTATTATTAATCCATAAGACTATCAACACTTCGGAAACATCAAATGGACCTGCCAACGTGACTTTGCCTAATATGGCAAAAGTTCTGGTGATATGATGAACTAAGCTATATGGAGTGTGATGGAGATCAAGACATGTAAACAATTTGTCTCTTTATGGAGGTACGAGAACAACTAAGCTTGCAATACCCGGGAACAATAACGGTGGATGTACTTCCAAAACGGCTCCATAAGTCGATTAAAGTGATAGGAAAAAATGAGGCAGTATTTGGGAGGTGCTGAAAGATGGGAAACAGATTATAAGTCAAATATGTCAGCAAGAAGTTGGAGATCCGATTCTCAGAACACTATTTGTTGTTGCGGTGCTCTTGTTTATTTCAACAGGCAAAAGAGGAAGAATAGAAAAAAGGTAGCATAAGATTTGGGAGTGAATATTGCTTGGAATGCTGGAAAAACTGTGAAGCAGTGAGATGGATAGGAAAAAAGGAGGAGAAAATGAGAAGAGCCACTGCAAAATTATTACTTAAGAAGTAGATGTAAAGGTTTAAGAACATTAATAGAGGTAGAGTGCTTATAGGAAAGATGTTGGTGGTTGGATTAGGGAGCAATGGGTTTTTTTATTAAAGGTATGCAAGTTTTAACTAATCACGAGCCATTCAATATATATAAGTATATGTAGTTGGGAGAGACAAATATGGTGGTCGAAGATATACTGTAGCAGGTATTTATATTATGGCTTGATGCTTCTCTGTTCTGTCGTTAGTTTGGTAATAATTATTTATATACACATATTGCTTACAATGTATCAATCGGAGATACTCACTTAGTTAGTTAGTTTATTTTGCCCATGTAGGTATGTTCGCATTTTTATGTATGACACTATCGACTTACAGTACAGTCAAACACTCAAATGATCTAGTTTAGTCTTGTCGTAAGCATGCATTGTATTCGAAAATTACTTGATTTTGAAATGGAAAATGATGGAGATAATGTATCTAAGATTGATCAAAATGTCAAATCATACACAATTGTGGCTCCAATATCTATCCATTAATAAGTTATATTGTCTAAAATCATGAAACTTCTGTATCTTTATCCAAAGATGAATTACATAAAGTATCTACAAAAAAGTTAGTCGAAGTTTTTTGAGATTACGAAATAACCTAAAGAATTAATGGGAAAGGTCAAGTTGTCAATTTAAATAAATTTGAGAATATTAAAATAAACACAATTGATTTATTGTATCACATTATTTTAATTATTCATAAAGAAAGAAGTTAAAATACCTCATTGTTCTTATTTTTTATATCCAATTCAACCACGTAATACCTAAATCATATTGACTTTCAGGAATCCTTGACCCGAGTCTATAATATTCCCAGACGAAAATAATAAAACAGATATCCTATAAAACAACCATTAGGTAAATAAATTATTGGCGATTAGCATCCTCACCTATTATCTCTTGTCTTATTTTTCTTTTTCAAATACTTAGCTTTTACAAGATATTATTTTGTTATTTATAACGTTGAATAATATTTACCGTGTAGATGTTATTAATTACTTAAGATATTATTTATTTTATTCTGTGCTTAAGTACTAAATTAACATTCAAAAAAGTTTAAACAAAAAGTAAATTTAAACGAATCATTTTCAATCCAAATTTAATTGAAACTATGACGTCAAATTTTCTTACAGCCGTTCCACAAACATGCGTACTACAGTTCACATCGCGTTTTCAGTCTCGCTTCGTGCTCCTACAGAAAAACAGTTTGGTGGGGAACTTTATAAACGAACATAAACCAGACGCGAACGTTTTATATCTTGACGACTACACGCCGGTTTGTTTACATTAAAAACCTTTAACATTTTCGTTTCATTCCACGTGAAATGTGTTAAGTAAAAACAATGAATACGAATTTGGTTGCCAAAGAGACTTTCAGCGTATTTCCTGAAAGGCCAGCTGTAGACATTGTATTTCAGGATGTTTCGTATCGAGTACCACAAGGACGAAACGGTGAGTGATTTATATTTAATTCTATTTCTTTGATTTTAATGGGTTTCTGAAAATGGGCTGAAAACGTTTTTGAGAATTTTAAATGGCTTGATTGATTTTGGGACCTTCTATTTTTTTTTAATGACTTATTGTTTAAAATGTTTTTAATTGGCGTATCGTTTTTTTCTTGATGGTTTCAAAACCTCAAATAAAAAGTAATTCCTTTAATTATAGAATTTTTAAATTAATATAGATTCATCCAATAAACGAATTAACATTGAGAAAAACCCGAGAGAAGCGTTTAAGTGCACTTTATAATTAATAATAGACAGCGACGTATATTTATTTTCTTGTTAGAGGACTTTTATTAATAATTCACTGTACACAAGGTATCATATTCGATGAATCATTAATGATTATTCATTTATAATTGATTACTGGTTTATTGTCAACATCAAAAGATTAATTTTATAGCAATCAACTGGGGTTTTTTGATTTCATTTATGAGAAACAGCATAATGTTTAAAAAAAAATGTATATTTATATTAGATAAAATTGATTTAAACATGACATTTTAGTGGGTGCCTCCATGCATTGTTGACTTTCTTCATCAAGAGATGGTTTTGCAAATATTTTCTTACCTAAAAGCGTCGTTCAAGGTTGATTTAATCCTAAAATGTTTTCAATTAATAGCTTCGGGTTAATTTTTTTTGATAGTTTTCTTTTTATTTTACTTTGACAAAAATTCTAATTGTAAGAGAATTTTGCAACTTTCCACAAAATTTTAAAACAATCTAAAAAATTTCGGGCAGAAAATTATTAATCTCAGTCTGCTTGGTATTTTTTTTATTTATTTTCCCTTTATGATTAAATCCCAGACTTATTATATAACAACAATGCGGAACTACTCCCTACTGTTACAAAGGTTGCAAGATCACTCTTACAATTGCTGGAAATTACACCACGCGGTCACTAACCTCATTAATCAAAAACTAAAATACGGTTATAGTAGTTGTCATTACATCGCAAATTATTTACTTCATTTTGTTTATTTAATATTTGAATCTATTCTTGGGCAGTATGATATGTTTTAATATTGCAATGGTGAGATAAAATGCTTTTTTGAGTGAGTACATCATGAAGCTAATGGTTTCGTAATTTGTTCCATAAATGTCAAGGTGTTGCAACACATTTTTTTTGTCACTGCCAATCTCATTTCTCGCTCCATGTCGATTTTAAGCGATATTTGCTTTCTATTACAGCTAGAGCTGAAAATCCGGTTTCGCATAAATGGATTTTCTACTCAATCGAAAAAAGTAAATTTTGTATTCAAGCTGTTTTCACAAAAGAGTTCAATTACAGTATTTTCGTCCGATGAAATGAGCTCTGGTGGTGGTTCAGCATGAAAATGTTTTCTTCAAAATACTTTGCAAATATAGTTCTGGACATAGTCTTTGAAATTTAAGAACAAATCATGTGAAACAACAACTTCATGAAAGACTATGTATTTCTGCAATTTAGCAAAACAATGTTGACTACCATCCCGAGCTTCAAATATATCTTATAAATAAACTAGTTACAGCAACAATTTCTAGTTGAGTAAAATGTCTAAAGGTTTTACGTGATTTATAACTTTTACGATACATTCATGTACCAAATGCATTTTAAGAGATCCATATTTTTGGCACACCAACATTTTTTAATATAGCAAAATATCAAAAAATTGGACCTGATAAATTTCGCGTACTTTAAACTGCTTCTTTCTACTTGTTCGTTTAGCTGGTCTTTTTCCCAGAAGATTTGGAGAGAGAGACACTGAAAAGCAGTGGATGGGTAAAGCATATATAATAACGAATACGGCAAAGAAGGTAAAACCAGGGGAGATGATAGATATATTGTATGGTTATCGCAATTGAATGAGGTTGTCAGACTTATGTATCTAACTTTTGTAGAAGCTGAGTGTTATATAGGGTTATACAAGTACAATCAAACATTAGACAGATTGGTATAGAGGATGAGATAATGTAAGGCGAATGGGTAGTAAAATGTTACATGCGTTTGACACTATATGGTTGTCGGGATTAGTTGGATTGTTGCGTTACAAAACATACCCAATAGGTGCAAAAAGGTGGGGTATTGAGCAAATAAGGGTTGTCAGCAGGATTCTAATCTAGACCCGGTTCTATGGATATGCAGAAGAATGAATGATCTATTGGATAAATTTAACAAGAGGTAATAATAGACATTAGAGTGATAGCAAAAAATTAGACAGTATTTGTGAGGTGTCTAAAAGATGAGAGGAAACAGATTATAAGTCAAATATGTCAGCAAGAAGTTAGAAATCCGATTCTCAGAACACTATTTGTGGTTGGGGCGCTCTTGTTTATTGCAACAGGCAAGAGAGGAAGAATATAAAAAAGGTAGCATAAGATTTGGAAGTAAATATTGCTTGGAATAGTAGGAAAACTGTGGTAGTGAAATGGATAGGAAAAAAGGAGGAGAAAATGAGATGAGCCACTGCGAAATTATTAGTTAAGAAGGTTTAAGAACATTAATAGACGAAGAGTGCTTATAGGAAAGATGTTGGTGGTTGGATTAGGGAGGAAAGTGGAAGATAAGATTGTAATGGTAGCTTTGTATATCGGTTTATTTTTAGAAAATTAAGGTTTTTTTTATTAAAGGTAGATTAATTAAGTAATTCTATGCAATGTTTGACTAATCACGAGCCATTCAATATACACATATAAGTATATGAAGTTGGAAGAGACGAATGAGGCGGTTGAAGATACACTGTAGCAGGTGTTTATATTATGGCTTGATGCTTCTTTGTTCTGACATTAATTTGGTGATAATTATATGCACATATTGCTTACAATGTATCAATGGGAGGTACTCACTTAGTTAGTCAGTTTATTTTGCACATATAGGTATGTTGTAGAGAGTTTTATGGTGCATATTTTTTTTCTGTGTCAATAAATTTCCAGAGGTCCCTGTTGATTTGGCTAGCTATGTGATTTTCGCTGCTGGAGATATAGTATGACACTATAAAGCCAACTTTCCTGGCTTGTTAACAAACTACTTGATACGGATTGGTCTTTTCCTTTGATGCTTTGCAAGCTTTCTATACAAAGTTGTATGAGAATTTGAATTTATTTGTTCCGAAGAGATTGGATCGTAGATCCTCATACCCTATTTGGTATATCCAAAAATGAAGTGGCTATTAAAATTAAAAGAGTATTATATGAAGATGTGGAGGAGAAGTGGTAGTACTTTCTATTCAGCGGAATATAAAAGACTGAGGTGTTTCACTAAACAAAAAATCTCTGATGCGTATCCTTCCTTTACTATTAGTGCTGAACAATCGCTTAGTTCTGATCAACGTAACTTATATAAGACAGAAAACAACGACCTCTCGACTTTCTAGCAAGATGAGGTGTAATCAATCCACCGACACTGATTCTGATAAAATAGTTAATACTTTTGCAGAACACTTGTCTGGAGAGTTACTAGTTTCTTTACTTACAACATGGTTGATGTACACTCTACATATCTTCCCGTGTTGGTTACAGATGTCACTGAGAAATAGGTTTTTCATTTCCTAAAAAGGTAACCTAATAAATTTACTGCTGGTGATGATGAACTTCATGCATTTTTTATTAGTAATTGTTATGCAGCTTTTTCCGTTTCACTTGCAAATTTCGAAACAAATCGATATGTAATGAACACTATCATTGAAGATGACAACATATTAGTTTTAGAAATATTATGAAATTTCGAAGTTTTTGGCAAACTAAAAAACCTTTACTATTGTTACTTTGTCAGCACATAATGATACAATAGAGCATGACTATGAAGCACTTTTAATTGCTTTTAAATTATTGAAATTGTTTCAAGAATGGATAATAGAACACTATTGCAAAAGCAAGAGTGATTCATGCACGGCCGACTATTGTAGACAAATAATGACTGTTTTTAGATGATATCATGATTTAAAAATACCAAATAATTTCTGTAACGATTTAATTCATAACGATAAAAAATAACATCGTCGTATAGAACATGACATACACAATTTTAATTCATTGATGTTTAGAATCAAGTTCAAGATACAACAAATTTTAAAATTCTCTTTATTTTAATAATCTTCCTTCATTGACGTATTTAAAAATTCATATACAGACGTTTTTGTTTACATTTTGATATTCTTATCAACGTTTTAGAGATAGATAAAACGTTAACCAGAAATATTAAAGTTCCGGTTTCTTGCACTCGTAATAAAGTTTCTCTTCGTAAATCTAAGAATAGATTGAAACTAACTAACAATGAGTACCTATTGATTCGTTACATTTAAAGCATATTTGCGGAGATAATAAGGTGCAAATGTAAGCAGGTAGAAAGTAGGCAATCTTTTGTCGAAGAGTATTGCAAGCTAAAACGAATCTGTACAATTGCTTTAACCCCAATGACTTCGTAACTTCCATTTAATTCATCGCACGTATTTGTGGTCGTTGCACTCGAAAGGATTGTAAAAGAACTTTTTTAAATTCCTTACAAAAAAGTTTCAAAAAAAAATAGAATAAATTGATTGATTATCGTTTATGTAATAAGATGAAATAAGGCGTTAAGTTCAACCGCGAACTTGACCTGGTTTAAAAATACTGACCTCGAAATCAACAGCATAAAACGTGCGTACATTGATAAATTTGTTAGGTAATCAATCAAAACAGTTTAATTCTTAAATTTTATTAATAGTTGAAATAATTTTTAAACTATCACAAGGACTTTGTTATTCAAATAGTATGTCAAGTGTAAATAGATTGTTAATTTATTACCTACTCAATGACAACGTTCATCACCTAACCAATTTATTACAAACAATTTAAGACAAAGTTGATGTCTGAATTTATTTCTAATCATTAATTGTAATTAAAAACTACGTCAACTTGCTTTCTTGTTGTTTATCTATCATTTAAAGATATTTTAACTTCTTGGCGAACACTTTGAAGGGTGCTAAAATCCATAACATACCAACTACATCTTTCTTTAACATTTTCCCTAATAACATTTCCACCAAATCCAATGAAAGCATCAGCATAAGAAATCGTTTCGAGATCGATAACACCATCACCGATAAAAACAATGTTATTATAACCATGTTCTTTCAAATACTCAACAATAATCGCTTTCCCGCCGTTTCTTGCCATCGGCGATTTCTTTTCATATCCAGCATATTCACCGTTATAAAAAAATTTCAATCTATTCCCATAAACTCTTTCCGGGGGGATTTTAAGTATCTCAGCAATTGGTGAAATAATTGATTTAAAACTGCCGGTTATTAAGTAAGTATCGATTTTATTTTCGTGGAGGTGTTTTATTAAATCTTCAACTCCAGGTGTTAAAGTAAGCGGTTTCTTTTCGACGAATTCGTCGATGATCTTTTTTGATGGTTTGATAAGCTTTAAACGTTCTTCTAAAGCACGTTGGAAAGGTATGGAGCCGTTTAAAGCCATTACTGACCAATTTTTCACTTCGTTTCCTAACCCGCAAAAATCTCCTAAAGCATCTATCGATTCTTCAGTTATCACCGTTGAATCAACATCGAAACAAACAGCGTCGACTTTTTTCCAAATTTCTTTTGCTTCATCTTCGGATTGCATTCCAGTTGATTCTTCTAATCTGGACATTTTTCGACGTTTGTAAACAAAATTTGTCACAAATGACAATAATAAATAATAATCGTTTCTTGTTATCTAGATGAATAATACTTAATTGAAGCAAAAAATTTCTGTTTTCTATTTTGTAATAAGTTTTTTTCTTCGAGTTTTTAATCACTGAACCAATTTAGTTGGCGCGTATATAAAATTTTCAAAACCAATTAGAAAGTTTTTTTGCATCACTTTCCTGCCTGAACATTAATTTACCATGCACTTCAAGTTTTCTAAGTGAACCTCGTTAATTTGCTGCAGAAAGTGTCGACATATTAATTCTTATAAATAGTAATAAACCTGGGGTGTTTACGCTTCAAAGATCGCAATTGTTGCCGAGTGATTTTAATTTCCATTCTGTTAAATCGTCACCACACAAAGGTTTACAGGAAATGCTTTAATTCATTTACAATTCAAATAAGAAAATTTAAAAATCAATGTAAACAAGAACTAAATGAAGTTAAAAAAAACTGTTTGTTTCTTTACAGGAAGCAAAGTTATCTTGAGAAATGTAAGCGGTCATTTTAAATCTGGAGAGTTAACAGCCATTTTGGGACCCTCTGGAGCAGGGAAGAGTACTTTACTTAACGTTTTAGCGGGATATAAGTGAGTATTAAAGATGTTTGATGACGCAAAGAAAGATTTCCTTCAACCTGAAAATGTAAACAAAAAATAACCTCGCGGTTTAAGGTTATTAGCTTAATAAGTTCCCTGATGAAAATATTTTAAATTAATTTCTTTCTAAGTTTGGGTTTATTTATTTTTATTTTTGATTAAAATCGTTAATAATTATTAGAAGTTTTAAAGGTCAAGATTATTCTTGGAATTTTTTTCTTTTAAATTAAATTGGTATATAATTTCTGAATATTCATTGCACGACGAAGGTTTATATATTAAGTATATTTCCATTAAAAAAAAAGAAAAATTCCGCGCCTTTAAAATGGTGTTAATAACGAATCGTTAAAACGAAATTATAGTTTTAAAAGAAAATAAGATTGATATTTAAACAGAATAAGGCCAATATTCAAATGAGCAAATAAATTTACATTTTAATATAATCTCAAATAAAAAACTACACCGACTTCTAATTCGTAAAAAATATAAACAAACATTGGAAAAAATGCTAATGATATCTTGTTTGATTTAAAATCAATTTGTTAAAATCTAAATAAAACTAAAATGTTAACCGCATTTTGTGGTAAATCGAAAGTAATGCAATAACATGTGGTTTATTTAATAATTAATTTATGTAAAGTTATAAAAAATGCTTTAATTTAATCATTTCCTATTAATTTTATACGAAAATAATTAGAACAACTAAAAAAATTGCCTTGAAGAATAATTAAAAAATAAATAACAAAAACTGGTTATAAAAATTCTCATAAACAAATCAATAAAACCATAAAAAGTCGTCGATATTCAATTTTATATAATTTTTGTTAATGATCGACATTACCATTCTCGTTTAACTACAGCACTATGATGTTGTACAATTAATCATATTACGTAACAAAGTACGTCTAATTTTTTGACCCGAAGTTTTGATTTTCCTCAGTTCATTTTAAAACATTTACGTTAATTAATATCGTGCTACAGACCATTTACTTACTAGAAAGTAATGAAATACGTTGCGAAAAGAACGATTGATTAACTGCCCTAATCGTTCAAGCATGTTATCAAAGAGACTGGATTAAAACGTATTGTATACTCATTGTTTGCGATAGAAAGGTAAGATTATTTTAAATGAGTTTATATTAAAGTGATTAATTTTTAAAATTTATTACACTAAGATCTGGTTTACTCAACTCGATTTCTAAAATCCACTTAGATAAAACTAAACATGCAATAATTATGAGGTTGTAATTATTGCAGCTTATTTTCTGGTACATATCGCAAATATTTTTGATATAATTTTAAACACACCAGAAAGAGTTATTTAACAACTACATTAGTTTCTCGACTTTCGAAAAACGAAGAAAAGTCAAATCATTAAAAGTTATCGCAGTTTTATCGTGAGATAAATGATAAACGCAGTTTTCAAAACATTCTTTTTATTGAAGCTCTGGAAGTGAAAGTTATCAAAAAGTTGTGCTTCCGGTAAAAATAATTTATTTAGTACCCCATTTTTTTTTTTGATATGTGTACGATAAACGTTAATGCTTCGTGAAAGGATATCATCAAAGGTTCATTATTTAAAATTGGGATAAAATAAAAAAATCGTATATTATTATCGTCCTCATCAAGATGATCATCTTCGTCTTGCTTTCACCTGCAACATGAGTTATAGAATATACGATATTTTAGTTTGGTAAGCACCTCACAAAGTTTTTGTAGATCTTCCAAGTTTAGAAGAATGCTTCACTCCGGAGGCTGGAATAAGTATCTTACACTTCTAAAATATATCATTCGAAAAATCTTTAATTACCTTAACTTATCACTTTAAAATCAAAAAAGTTTCGCTACTTTATGTTAACGAGGTTAAATGGTGATGGAATTTCTGCAACTTCTGCAACTTCTGCAGTTACAACATATATTCGTTTAGAGATAATGCAAAAATCCCGATTTTTAGGAAGATATGCGTCATGATATTGTTTATGTTTTGTTCTGGACATCCGTCTGTGAGAAAAACAAAGTGTCGTGATATCTAAAACAACGTCATTATGTCATTTTCTTGCAATGTCTTTATGGTATGCATACAATGAAACAATCATTGAGGCTTCTCGCTACAATGTGTTATAATTATATCCCAATCTTCTACTACTTCTGCAGTTACAACACCTTTTGTTTAGAGATAATGGAAAAATCCCGATTTTTAGGAAGAAATGCATCATATATTGTTTATATTTTGTCCTTGACATTCGTCTCTGAGAAGAACAAAGTGTGATATCTAATCAACCTTATTTTACCATGTCTTGCAATGTCTTTATGGTAGACGTACAATGAAGCATCATTGAGCATGTTTTTGTTTATGTTTTGTTCTGGACATCAGCCAGAAAATTACCTAAAAACTAAATTTAACTGCGTTAACCAAAGTAAACGACTTAATTAAGTCAATTAAACCAATCAAATCAGTCAAATTAATTGAGCCAATCAAAGGATAAATGATGAAAAATAAAGTATATGCAAAAAGTTGCCTACATGATATCCATTTCAGCTTAAATATCGACTTATATCCAAGTCCGTAATATTGCTATATACACTACATGCCAAAAAAAAGTGCAACACTGCACTTTTTTGTCAATCTGGAATCTTAACAGAACAACTAGATGCATGTAAAAAGTCGGTGATAAAAGCATCACATCGATACACAAAGTATTGCAAGTTGTTGTATGGTTTTTGCTGTGAAACAGATAATCTGTAACAGGAAAGTTGAAAACTGCATCACAAAATAAATTCTATTTGGTGAGTGAGCGTTTTTCCTTCAATTGTTAAAAATGCCTAGAATTGGTAGAAAACCGCGGTTTAACCAATTGTCTGACTTTGAAAGAGGACGAATTGTTGCCCTGCACGACGCAGGTATTCCATTTCATGAAAATGGTCGAAGATTCCTTCAAGCATGGACTGCGTGATCTGAAGAACGTAACCAACATCGCCGTTTTGGAAGCGAACGTCCTCGAGCGACTAACCAAAAGTGAGAATCGTCGGCTTAGACAAATGAGACAGATTTCGTTCTTCGGCTGCAATTGGTGTTGACTGCATGAAAAATGTGAGGCAGAAAGTGTACCGACGAATTTTATCTTTTAATCTCTACTCATACCGACCGCTCGACGCCTTCATTTGCCCTTCGAGGTCGCAGCGGTCACACATCTGGTATTATGGTATCGGGTGCCATATCGTTGGGGTATAAGTCACCTATAGTTATCATCCCTAGCAGTTTAAATGCACACCGATATATCCACGAGGTTTTACAGCCCATTGTAATACCTGCAGAATAGCGCCCGACCTCATATCACCACATCTGTCAGAACTTCCTACACGAAGATGGAGTAGAAATTCTCCCCTGGCCTGCTCGCTTTATAGATTTAAACCTAGAACCTAAAACCTGGATATTACCACAAGCAGCAAACACTTTACAGAAACTTCGTCGTCATCTACAGCAAGCCTGGGATGAAATTCCACAGGACTATTCATCATCTCATTCGGAGCATGCCTCGCAGAGTTAGACAGTGCATAAACAATTGTGGGGATGTAACATTTTATTGACATAAATAGTTGGTTTTTTTTTTCAATTGGTATAATTTACTAATGAAATAAATACAAATTACTTGTAAAAATTTCAGCTTTGTGAGTCAGCTCTTTCGAGGTGTTGCAATTTTTTTGGTACGCATATAACTTACATTATGAGAAAGATCGTTTGAATAATACGTAAATCTTTTGATGCGTGCTCAAATGTCGAGTATATTAAGACAAAGATCCCGATTTAGGATGTGCGAAATATGTTTGTCTCTTACTACCATTAATAAAATTAATTACGAAATAAATTAAAAATAGATGACACGCAGTACATCACACAAACGTTTATTTTTAATTGATTGAACCATTATAGAAAAATAGTCGGTTGTTATCTAAAGTAACCAGGTAGACAAATTGCTCTACAGTTTCCATGTTATGCTTTCCTATGGTCAAGTTTTTTCCTATTTGTCTCTAATTCCCTCAGTTCACCATTTATGACCTCTCTCTTTTTCAGTCTATGAGCCTTCTTTTCTTTCCTCCTCTGTACACTCCTTCGTTTGTGTTGTTCTACACTGCTGTAATTTTCTGTTATGATTCTTTCTTTCCGTTACCTCGTTCTTCGGCAGCCTTGCATTTTCACGCTATTGTGTATTTGCAAGCTTCAGATTTATGTTCTCTTTATTCGCTCTATTTTTGCTGTGATCGTTGAGGTTGTATTTTAAGTGTTTTTTCCTGTCGTCTTTTTGGTATTTGCAATTTGTGCTCTCTTGTACTCTATACCTTATCTGGTAGTTTGCTCAGATTCGATGTTAACTCCACGCCAACTTTTGGCTTATATTATGTCAAGTTGTCTTGCATAAACAATGCAAGTTTCCTTGTGGATGTCTTTGCTCTCAAACTATGTACTTGCAATTACCACATTGAGGGAGGCCGCATAGTTAATTAGTCTAGTGCTATTGTCATTGGATTCTTTGTATAGGTTGTATTTACTCATTATGCCAGGTTATTGTTTCTCCCTTCCTAGTTTATCGTTAAGGTGCTCCAGTATAATCTTTGTATACGTATCGTTTTTGCGCATGAAAGGATAGTTCTTGAATGATATGAGACTATATATAATTTAGGGTTGGGTTTGGTTGCCTTGAATCTCGTGAGCAGAGTGACCCCAACATAGAATGGCGTAGGACACCTGCGCGTAGAAGTATCCGTATTAATTGCTAAAGTGTCAAATAAAGTATTGAAGTTAGGGCGGCCTCCCTATTTAACTGTTTTTTAACTGGTTGTTGTCAGAATGCTAATTAAGCTATAAAATGCTGGGTTCATTAAAATCGTGAGCTTTTATTTTTAGCAACGCAGTCGAAAGCCTTGGTCAAATCAAAAAGCCATATCTCAGTTAGCAGGTTGTTTCCACAGCCATTTTGTATGTGTTGAGTTAGTCGAATGCATATTTGTCAATTTCTCTTATTACGTTCTGGAGTGGCCCCAAGCTGTACAGAGTGCTTACTTAGTCATCGTCTTGTGATCATTCGGGCTTTCTTTCTTTGAACTTACGACAAAATATTTAAAGTCTTTAAGTTATTTAAATCACATAGAATGATGACTCAAAATCAGAAACTAAGACGAACACGAACCCCTTAATTATTAAATTATTATTATTATAATTATTCAACTATGACTTACAATTAGTCAAAATTTATTAAGGGTCTAAAAGTCGTCTATTTGCGTTTTAATAATGTTAAACATAAAACAAATTTCGCGTCGAGAAAACTCGTTCCAGTCTGAACAAGGTAAATTGAATAATCGATGACAATTCTATTGGAATTACTTGGTTTGCTACAAAAATATTTTATATTTTTAATTACCCTAACAACATTAGCAGGATCCTGACTATGATCTCCTTCCATTGCTTTTTCCAAAAGCACATTATTATAAAGTACTTGATAAACGATAAGATTGATATAAATAATGTATAAATAAAATTATACGTTTAGAGTCCAGACTTTCTTCAACGTTAATAATTCGTATCTAAGAAAAAACGAAAGGGTAATTATTCTCAATTTTTCTCTCATCTTTGTCCATTTTTAAAATAGTTCTTGCGCTTTCTCTTTAATGGAGAAGATTTTACTGAGCCGATTTGTTCCATTTTTATGGTTTTTGTATAGCAACTTTTTGAGTGGCTACTTCCTCTGAATCTTCCTCTAACTTCATCAAAATAAATAAAATACCAAGACTAACTACTTGATATCACACTAAAAGCATTTCAAAGTATTTCTTACAACTTTCAAAACAATCATTATCGCACGTTAATTCAGAAATTTGACACCAAACTTAATCCTCATTCTCTTCATGAATTTGTAAATAAGGATGATCGATATAAATGTTTTGTTTTTATAAATGTTATTTTTATATCTTAAAGCAAAAAGATTGTGGTTTAAGACAAACTTTTCTTTTATTCTTTCGAAATAAAGTACTCGCAAAAACAATTTAAACAATTTCCTAGAAGATAAGAATATAATTGAGAATTGCGACATGGTCAAGAAGAGGGTTCTTAAGTTTACAACAAACGTAAGAATTCTTTCGAAATAGAAAAAGAGATAATAATGTGTGTAACAAATATTGAATGAAAGGAAAATAGAAAATAAAACAAGATAATCTTTTTTTGAGTAAATTTAGGTCACATACGTGTTTTTACGTATGATTTCGTTCCTAGACTTTCGCATTTTAGCTGACACTTGTTGCATTAACGTTATTTATTGATTTTTAAAATATAGATATAAACGTATTCCAGTTATCCAATTTATGACCAAATACATAGCTATTATATAAGTGTGTAATGAAGTTAAGAAACATTCTCTTTGTTTAGAAACTGACCTATCATATTCACCTATGAAAAATTGTAAACACAGAGAAGTCGACGACCTTAACCTTGATCATTGTTAAATTTCGAAGGCTACTTGTGAAACTTTTCCCATTTTCGCTTTTATGAACTGAAGCCGACTCTCAGTCGTATTAAATCAACAAGTCTTATATAAGAAAAGTTTACGGTCTACTTCTTTTTTTTTTCGATGTCAAGGATAAAAAAATAAATCAAAAACACACCCTACATTCCCTTTTTCCTGCGTTCATTTCATTACGCAGAAAGAAATTTTTATAAACGAATAAAAAATCCTTTTTGTTTACGTAACAATAAATTCTCACCGGTTCTTTGTACTTTGAAAGTGCAATGGACGACGATGAAGTTCATTTTTTACAAAGCCATTAGTACTTCAATGGCTCTTTCACATTCTATAAATAGCTGTTAAATTTTATCTTTTCTGATGGCTTCCTCCTAGATTTCGCGCTGATTAAATAGTAGCGTGAAGCGGAACTGACATAAACAGGAAGTAAACTGAACAAAAAGAAAACAAAAATAGAAAAAAATCAAAAACATAAATTATTTAATAATAGACAATTTGATTGCGGTTTTTTTAGATTTTTTTTAATGTCAAAAAAGGAATTAAACATTAGAAAGGAACTACTGCAGGTTTTTTGTGGCGCCGAATGAGAAAATAATTTGAAAAGTTGTTATGTTAACGAGAAAGTGATGTCATCGATCATTTTCAAATGGAAATTTTCTTGAAATTATCATATAATGGACAATAGGATTAACATTTGAAAGTTTCTTTTTGTAATTCTTATAGATCCCATGATGTCGGTGGTTCAATTCAGGTTAATGGTCAACCTAGAAACATGAAAACATTTCGTCACTTCTCCAGATATATCATGCAAGAAGATATGCTTCAACCCTGGTTAACCGTCGAAGAATTAATGAAAGTTTCCGCTGATTTAAAGTTGGGAAAGACCTTCAACAATCAACAAAAAAATCAGACGGTAATTATATTAAAATGTTACTCATGTTATTTTGATGTTATTCAATTTATCTTTTAAAGTTTCCATTAAAAAAAGTAAAAAAATAAACGAGTCATTAAAAAATTAGGTTTAGATTAAAGTGAGTATTAAATAAAATAAGATTGGATGAATCTTGTGTAATAACTTTTTATAAGATTAAATGTTTATTTTTTTTTATAAAAAGATACGATGGAATAAAATAAAACGCTAATAACTTGAATACTACGTAAATAATTTTGAATTTATCTTAACCACAAGCTATAAATTATTAACCGCAAAATTCTTTATATTTTCCAAAAACTTGTCATTGATAATTAATTAAAACAAATCGTTTTTATTTATTTATAGTTTTCAGAATTTAATAATTGCTTAATTCAAATAATATGAAATATTGTTATTTTTTTCAGATATCTGAAATATTAGAATTATTAAGGCTGATAACAACCAAAGATACATTAACGAGTAAATTATCAGGTGGTGAAAGGAAGAGGTTATCAATAGCTTTAGAACTTGTTAATAACCCACCCGTTGTTTTTTTGGATGAACCAACAACGTAAGTTAGTCAAAAAATTAATAATTTTATTTAAAAAATATTTTTTTACAGTGGATTAGATGATATGGCAAGTTCCCAGTGTGTTTCATTATTAAAAGCTTTATCAGAAGGTGGAAGAACAATAATTTGCTCAATCCATACACCCAGTGCAAAACTTTTTTCCATGTTTAATAACACGTACATTTTATCAAATGGTATTTGCGCGTATCAAGGATACGGTTTAGATGTTGTACCTTATTTAGAAAATTTAGGATTGGTTTGTCCCAAACATTATAATCCAGCTGATTTTGGTAAGAATTTGTTTATAATTTATAAACTGTACACAGATATTATATTTGTACCAAACATGAAACTAAAATTCTGCAACTCGTTTCTATCCAAACCTAAAATGCAATGTGCGAACAAAAAATGTATTTCCTAAAAGTTTTGTTAGATCTCTAATCTCCTTCTTGTTTCCCTTATCTCCAAAGAAAATACAAGCTACACAACTGTCTTAATCACAATAAAATGATCATTCTCGTACGCATTTCTGATCATCTGGTATTACATATTTAAAAACACTATAAATTGTAATCCGTTTTTAATACTTCCAATCTGATACGTTTCTTGTGACTAGATACAATTCACCAATTTCACAACTTTGTCTCGGATGCAAGCCGATGCATGCTTAGTACGGGTTCTCCATAAACTGACTTTAATCATTTCTTCTTTTTATTACACCCTCTCTTGTCGGCGATCCAATTAGCGATGATGATTTTTGAGGTTGAAGCCCAGAACACCTTTATGGATGAGCGACTAAAACCAACGTCTCAGGTCTTTCAGCCATGAGTTTTGACGTCTTCCCACAGATCTTTTTTCCTTTATTTTGCCTGCAATGATTAAACGCCTCTTATTATGTACCTTATACAAGATGTTTCTGTAAGTCATGGCATCATTTTAATCACAAATACTAGAGTTAAAATGATGACGATTCGTGTACAATTTTTTGGTTTAAACCCATAAATGCTTAAGATATGGACCTTCAAAGTTAAATAAATTTTAAACATTTTTTTTTTAATATTTTCAATATGGTTCATCTTAGAAAGATAAAATTTGGAAAACAATTCTTTTAAAAGATAAATTTACGCTACATGCATTTACACGTATATGGCTTAGATCCTAAAACAGAGCCAATCGACGTTGAGAAATATTTAAACAACATGGGTTTCAATTCTGTTAAATGTCTTTTACTAAATGTAAAACATCCTGAAAATTACGCTTCACTCAAACTATCTGTTCCTTTGAAAGGCTGGATGATGTAAGGAAACCTGAAATTTGGCCGCCTGGAACCTGTATTAACCGTTTTTTGTACAGAATTTTCAAGAAAACAAGTCCAACTTAATTCAAGGAAAATTCGCCAAGGCGAATACGAAAAGAGTTCAATCTCAATAAAAAGTTTAAAGAAAGACCGGACCTTCACTCACTGTCATAAAATTGAAATACATAAAAAAATTATCATTGGTATCTATCGCTTAACGAGCGGGGATTTTAAGATATTTTTTGACAAATTCCAAGATTTGCTTGACACTATAAAAAAAGAAATATATATCAAAAAAGTCTTCATTGCAGGGGACTTCAACATTAATGTACAAGTCACTAAAAACCAAGAAGCTATAAACATGTTATTAAACGTAGGGTTATACAAGATTCGAATATGTATGTACAGTTTTGAAGCGGAATTGTCGAGGTGTTTCTTCTCCGAAAATGCTGAAAATACACCAACAGCAACGTTTTCTGCTTATTTCATGCACTTGAAAAGTACCTTTGACAAGTGCTGCCCTGAAAAAGAAACCTTTGTTTCGAGTAGAAAAGGGAAAGAAGTAAAATTAGCTACAACTACAGAAAACAGCTTTAACACCGTACAAATTCTGGGAATTATTGCACAACAAACAAAAACGGAAGAAGCATACCAAATATACAATAAATATAAAAGAGAATTAAAACAAGTAATGTATGAACATAATGATATAGTGATATACCAAGCTGAAAACAGACAAAAAAAAGTATGGTAAATAATAAATAAGTAAATAAAAAGAGGTAGAAGTAACTGCAATACAACCATCATGGCTGAGATATACAGCAACTATCTACAGAAAACTGAGAGCAAAGCTAATATCCGTAAAGGAAACGATTATATGAGTAGATTACAAATACGCAACGAAAGTTCCTGTTTTGTAAGACCGACGAAAACAATAGTGAAATGTTTTAAATCAATAATAACTGAGGACATTTGTGGAATGTCTGTTGCTTTTTTGAAAAGAACTATAGAAGGTCTATCTGCACAATTAGTGTATCTTATTAACATGTGCCTCGAACATGGAATATTTTCAAACGAATTGAAGTTAGCAAAAATCATTCCCATCCACAAAAAAGCGAATGTAGAAAAGCCAGACAACTACAAGCTCATTTCTATTCTCCCAGTAACTTCGAAAGTCTTCGAATGCGTAATAGCAGATAGAATTTCTACTTTTTTTGAAAAGAGAAAGTTTTCCACTAAATATCAACACGGCTACCGTAAAGGAAAATTTGTAGACACAGCTATACAAGATACCGTAAACAAAATACTGGAAGCAATAGATAAAAGAAAATTTGTAAAGTTGGTAGGAGTTGATCTATCAAAAGCGTTTGATAGTGTAAACCATGCCCTACTCCTAGATAAGCCGTATTACGACGATATTGGGAGTATTGCACACAACATTCTGAAGTTATACTTGAATGCTAGGATGCAAATCGTGGTGGTGAACGGAGGAAGATCTAGTGCTGCAGAGGTCTCAGTGGGTGTTCCTCAGGGTTCGGTATTGGGTCCTCTGCTATTTATCATATACATAAATGACATGCCAAGCATTATACCACATGGAGACCTTTGCCTCTATGCAGACGACACGACTATCGTTTTAACTGGCGAATCAAAAACACATGTTCAAAATAGCTTCAGCAAATCTATGCACGCTGCAAAAGAATGGTTTAATGACAATGGTTTAACGGTAAACGAAGAAAAGACGCAATGCATTACCTTCAACAACGGACATAATTAAGTACCTAATATTTTTAAGTCTGTATCTAGACGAGGAATTCAAATGATACACCCATATAGATAATACTGCCAAGAAGCTAAATGGCGCAATTTACTGTGTACGGTGAATGAGAGCTATCAATACCATAGAAGCGGCTAAACTCACATATTATGCCAGTTTCTACAACGTAGCAGCGTATGGCATTCTGTTCTGGGGTATGTCTTCAGCAGCAGAGCGAATTTTTCTATTACAAAAAAGGGCAATTCGAGCACTTCTCAATCTAAAGAGTAGAGATAGTTGTAGAGAACATTTTGCAATACACAAAATTCTCACCATACCGTCTGTGTACATATTCAGCTGCATTCAGCAACTAAGAGGAAATGGATCAACCTCACGAAAAATTTAAATATCCACAATTGTCCGACAAGACGGGGGGACGAATTACGAATTCCACGCCACCGTCTAGTACAGCCTCAAAGTAACTCCGACTATTGGGGCACAAAATTCTACAATCATTTACCACAGTACGTTAGACAATTGCCTTCTAGAAGAATGAACTCGTTCGTTAAGAATTACCTAGCGCAAAACCCAATATACAGGATAAATGAATTTCTCGAAAGATGTATAGGATGAATTATTCTGTTTTCTTTTCTTTTCTTTTTCTTGTTTTTGTTTTGTATGTCAATACCACATTCTGTTGTTATGATCTTTGAGAATGCCTTTATTCTTAACCAGCATTCTTTTGCCGCTCAACAAGATTTTCGTATTTCTTTGTTTACTTCATTGTATTTATTCGTATCTTTGTTTTTATATATTCTTCTTTCTTCCATGAGCTGCAACATGTAATCGGTCATCCACTGTTGGTTTTTCTTCCAAACCATATAACCAATGTCGTTCTTCTGCGTAACATCTTAGTGCGGATATTTCCTTCAGGCGGTCTTCCAATTTATCTGTCACTTGACCACGGACATCTGCGTTGTTGACTTAGTTACTTTCCGTTACGTGACACAACAAATGTTTTTAGACTAGTATATATAGTCGATTTGGTTACGTATTATGTTGTCTTTGTTGTCTGCTGGCGCTCTCCATGTGTTGCGGATGTTGTTTAAAGAAAGTACTTGTAGCTGTTAATTCGAACACGTGCAAAATTCTATTATCTAACGATATCTAGCGTTTCCAGATCATATCTACCACATACAACTTCAACCTCGCCTTGTCCATTGGCATTAAAGTTCCCTGCAATAATAGTTATTTCGCCTTTTTTTGTAAGTCTGAAGGCGTTGCTTAAGGATTCATAAAAGTCTTTTAGGTAGTTCTTCTTCACTTTTCTCTGCTGTAGGGGCATATACTTAAATGATATTAGCTATTCAGTGGGTTGTGCCTAATTATTACCCTTTCATTCACTAATAGTTTTTGGTTTTGTCCCACCAGAGTAGTATAGTATTCCATTTTGCTATTCCGAACCCTCATTTCTTGCCTCACTTAGACTTAATACATCGATGTTCAGACGATCTGCCTCTGCAACCAGGTTTTCACGTTTACCTTTAGTTTAGTTTTTGCGCACGTTCCAACTAGCAATTTTTAATAATCATTTATTTATTTTTTTTTATTTTAGTTATAGAAGTATGTAGTGGAGAGTATGGTGATTACACCGATAAATTAATATCAGCCGCAAAACAACAGTATTCGTCAATCGCAACGTCTGAAAAAATTAGTAGACAATCATCGATAATCGAGCCGACGATATGGAAGAATGAAAGTAATTTTTGGTATCAATTTTCAACGTTACTTTTCCGAATGTGGAAACAAATGTACCGAGATAAAAACTATTTAGTTTTAAAAACGGTTCTTCATATTTTCCTCGGCATTTTCGTCGGATGTATCTTTTACGACATCGGAAATGATGGTGCAAGAACTATTTACAATTTTGGATTATTTTATTGCTCGACAATTTTTTTCCTGTATATTCCACTTATGCCAATTTTATTACACTGTAAGTATAAAGTTAAGCTTTTTTTTAAATCTGATTATTTTTTTAATTTTTAGTTCCTAAAGAAATCCAGTTTTTAAAACGAGAATATTTCAACAGATGGTATAGCTTAAAAGCTTATTTTTTAGCAATGACCTTATCAACAATCCCGATTAACTTAATTTTAAACCATCTTTTTTTGATCTCTGTATATTTCTTAAGTGGGCAACCTCTAGAATTTGATCGGATGTTTAAATATTTTGCAGTTTCTGTTTTAACAGCTTTCGTTTCAGAAAGTCTTGGGTTAATTATTTCTTCGTTTTTAACGGTGGTTGTAAGTTAAATAAAATAAGTTTCTGAATACATTATTTTTTTAATTATTTTTTGCAGAATAGCATGTTTGTTGGACCAGTTATTTCAGTCCCATTCATGTTGCTAGCTGTTTATGGAATGGGATTTGGAAACACGGGAATTCCCATAATTATGCAAATTGTTATGCACTTCAGTTATCTTCGTTATTCTTTAGAAGGAGCAATTTCTGCAGTTTTTCGTGATCGCGGGAAATTCCCTTGCCCCGAAACCGAAGTTTTCTGCATCTTTAGTGACACAAATTATTTCTTGGAGATTATGGGATTCCCAGAACGTTCCGTTTGGATCGATGTAGCAGCTTTATTTTTTATTTACGTCCTATTTCGATTAACGTGTTACTATTTACTTAGACAGAGATTATCGCCAAATAAAACTTTTAGAGCTTTACATGTTATCGTAAGATTTGTTAAGTCACGAGTTGGCGGATCAAGATAAAAATTTACAAATATATATTTATTTTTTTATACAAATTTTAGGAAATTTAGTTTGACTTTTGTATATTTAAAAATGTTTAAAAAATAAACCTACTTTTTTTATTTACAAAAAACAATTTTTTTTATTTATTAATCAAAATCATGTCAATCAAAAAGTGTTTTTCAAAATTTGTTAAAGTGAACTCATAATTTAACTATAAGAAAATGTTAGCGAACTCAATGCGACGCGTTGCTTCTTATGGAGCTATAACAAATACATTTTCGAATGTAGTAAAAACTAAGGTACCTTTTATGGCATCAAAAACGAACACAAATAAAGTGAAAGTGGTTGATCTTCGTCCACTTTTTCATTTTTCGTTAGGAAACGCCTTTCATCCCAGCGAAATCACAACACCATCCGTGCTCTCATCAAAATGTGAGGGATTGAAAAATGTTTTTGATTCAAAAGATGTCGTCCTTTCCAAAAACAAGTCTACGATTAAGTATTCGACATCGGAAGTTTATTGGAATAACAGGAAGTGGACATGGTTTAACACAATTAGGTTTTAATTTAAAACCAACAATGTCGAAGTTTTCTTAGAAATTGAATTGTTTGAAAAATATAACAACAAAAATTTAAATTGTTAGTTTTATTTAGGATATTTCAAATGATAAACTGTTTTGTTTTATTTTTTCCACTTTCATTTTGAAGAATGACAAATTTTTCTTTTATAAATTTGATCACTAATAAAAATTATATGTATTTTTGTTCATTTCAGTATGACTCGGTGAATAAATTGGCTGTATGCTTGTTCGTACTATTAAAATAGGAAAGTGTGGCGTTGCCGATCATATAGTTGATAGTGAGATGATGCAAGAGCTCTCACTATCGACTATATGATCGGCAACGCCACATTTTCTTATTTTAATAGCACGAACAAGCATACAGCCAATTTGTTATGACTCAGTGAACAAATTGGCTTGTATGCTGGTTCGTACTATTAAAATAGGAGAGTGTGGCGTTGCCGATCATATAGTCGATAGTGAGATGATGCAAAGGCTCTCACTATCGACTATATGATCGGTAACGCCACACTTTCTTATTTTAATAGCACGAACAAGCATACAAGCCAATTTGTTCACTGAGTTATACTGAAATAAACAAAAATACCTACATATAATTTTTATTAGTTATCAATTTTATAAAAGAAAAATTTATATAAAAAATCGCGTAATCATTTCTTTTTCGGCTTCCTTCCATGCCCATCTTCGTCCATTAACATTTTATCAATCATGTAATCAGCAACACCACATTTACCCATTTTGTATATTTGTGCTAATAAACAAGATAATTTGTTCACGGCTTCGTACTAGAAGATAAAAATTTACTTATATCTCTAATTGTAATCATCTAAAGTTTCTTTTGTGATAAATCTGTTTACTGGTTATTTATGGGAAACGAACGTTTTTAAATTGTAGCTGAATAATTAGAAACCATAAGAAATAACATTTTTTAGAAATTTTTGGTGAGATTTTAGTTTCAATGCTGATAAATCTGATAATAATAATAAATGTATTCCTATGGCAATGGTAAAGATATTTCAGGAGTAGAACTAAAACCAGAAGAGACCAGATAATGTGTTGAGGTATCCGAGCAAGATCATGTACTATGTGACATACAATATTGATGTGCGAAGAAATGGAAGGAAGAGCAGAAGAATTTCGAATGAGCGGATAAGTGAAGAAGCAGTAGAAGATATAATCCATCCATTAGTGCAGGGAATTTATCCACACAGCTTGGTGTAAGACATAACGAACATTGCATCACCAGGGATTGCAGTATTATCACATTCCACGAATCAGAAATGAAATGAATCCAATTATTACTCTACACTCTATGTGTAGTAGAGTTTTAGATCACTTAAAAACCTGCAAAATAGCAATATAATATTCCAGCCTAACATGTTCAGTATGAATTTGAATTTAAGCACGCAAAGCATCAAGACGATAATCAAAGTGTAATGTAAAACTATATGCAAAATCTTTTTGTAAACCATTCAATTGAAATACGTCAGTTTCCCGTTAGTTGTTTCAAAAAGATACCTACCTGTTCTGTTACAAATTCACTAACTAACATATTTTCAGTATGATAATCATCATGTTTTTTCGCAACACAAATGACATTAGTGATTTCCTAAAAGTTAAAAAATAATTAATGCAACTCAAGACCAACGTTTCTTTTTCTTACAGAAGTAACAACTTTTTCAAGTTCCAAAGCAATTTCAATAGCTTTCGGAATAGAACACCATTCAACTGACTCATTAATACCAATATTGCATAACTTCACGATCCCACCGCGAGACAATTGGTATTCGATGAGTCTCAAAGCGTGTTCAATTTCCTCGTTACACATAACCATAAAGAAATTGTGAGCTCCTTTTTTACCAACGTCGTTTCTGCCGAAAAAAGCTGCTATGGATAAGTAACCAAAAGCAGCGTTCAATTCCGACATGATTTGTTTATTAATGGCGTCCTCCAGTTCGGCGTGATATTTCAGTCTTCCCATATCTTTAGCTGGTTTTGCGACATAGGTCGTTTCGCATTTATTCAGTTGGGTGGCCATCGTATGAAATTGAAAATGATTATCACGATCATTATTGTCTAAATATGTTAAAATATTGTCTCGGGACAATGGCACTTTTGAATCTTCGTGAGATTTTTTCGAAAATCCTCCTCCTATCGGGGCGTAATCTTGAAGGGATTCACTAAAAAGCCTGTTCTTCACGAGACGTTTAACGTCAACAATATTAACACCAGCAGGCTCATCAGCTTTTATTAACTCTTTTGGGCCATCTAATGTGTAATTGTTGTCGTCGTTGTGACGAAAATTTATGAAACTCATACATGACACCAAACGTTTTGGAAAAACTAAGAATTTTGTAGCCGTAAGGAAAGGAAAAATCTTCGATCTCACTGACAGTGACATCTTTGAAATATAAAAAATCTGGTTATATTTTGAAACTTTTTACTGTTGTAGTTTTTATTATTAATTTTATAAAGCCTACTGTGAAAAATACATTCATAAAATTTAAATTATTGACTTTTTGTGCAATAATGTTTCATTCCATATCAGTCATTTTTTTAAATCACCCCATTTTTCATCTTAATTTAAAAATGCTATCAATACAATATTTCTTACCTATTCTAAGTTTTTGTTAACAATTATTAACATTAAGCTTAGGCTATACATATATATTTTTCATTTCTTTTAATCCTGGCTTTCCTTTAATTTCTGATCAAACATAAACACCCCCAAACCTTCTCCAACTCTCCTCAAATTAGTGAGATGATCCCCAATTTCTTTAATCGCATCAACTTGTTCTTGTAAATAATGAGTTTCTAAGAAATCACATAAATTTACATCCATATGACCGGAAGCTGTACTATGTAGTTGTAAAAGATCCTGAAAAAAAGTTGTTTTATAAAGATATTATTAGAAAAAAATTTGTTTACATCATTAACGCGTTTTTCTAATTCCAAAGCGGCCCCCATCGCTTCTAACGCGTTGCTAAACTCTTGTTTTTCCGGCTGGGAAATAGGCAATAAAACAATTCTCCCACCTCTTTGATTCATATAAACCATAAATTTCTCAGCATGTTCTCTTTCTTCGTCTGAACACTTCTTGAAATATTGATGCAATCCTTTCAAGGCCACATCATCTCTATCGAAATGATAAGCCTGAAAGAAATTTTAATTAAATGTAGGTACGCATTTCACAACATGTCATCAAAGCGAGTTAAAGTATTGATTATTTTTAGAAAAGAATATATTTACCATCGCCATATAGACATAACTCGCGTACAATTCGATGTTAATTTGCTTATTAATCGCATCTTCGCAATCTCTATGAAAATTTTGTCTTACTTGAGATTGCGCCATTTATAGCAATTTGTTTGCGGATACTGCGACTTGAAACGGGGGATGCTGAAAATGAACTACTTGAACGTCTGAAACGAGACTGGCGGCGAGTGTCGATTCTGCGCCGGTTTTATACCAACAAATGAGTTGGTTGTTTTGACTGGTCAAGTTTGTTATTTGTGTTTATAAATAGAAAACGATATGTTGGGCGATTGCAAAAAGAATCTAGGACAAGATTATGATAATAAAACAAGAATGAATTAATAATGCGCTTTAACAATAATAAAAAGTGTTATTGTTATAAATCAATTTGAATTTATAAATTTAATACAAAAACAAAGAGTTTATTTTTGGAAAACAACCGAGAATGATTATTTTTGCCCATCAACATCCTGTTGTATTTTGAATCATCCATGATAAACTAATCGTGTTTTAACCCTTATAAACATCTCATTAATATTATAAAGTTAATTAATAAAGGAAAACTTATTACAGGAAAACGAATAAACAAAAAAAATTGCAGAGTATTTTTATTCGAATTTAAAATATATTTCTCAATAGCATTTTCAATTATTGTTAATAATCTGCGACATGTTACGTCTTGAAGGTACAGAGTCGAGTTGGTCAAGAAAACACTCAGAAAGAAAGGAAAGATGTTTTAACGTCACATTAATAGACATTAACGTGTCACGCTAAACTTAAAATTCTTATAAAAGACTTGAAAAATAAAATAATAATTGGATAAATGAAAAAATCTTTGGCTCCTCAAAGTTAAATTGAAAACATCCGGGTCTTTTTAAGTACAAAAATATGTAGTATAAAAAAAGGTAAAATATTCTTTAAGAAAAAAACGTTATTGCGTCTCTTAAATAAAATAAGTTATATCACATAAATCCGATTTGAACCTAAGGTGACAATTTAAAAGTTAACGTAATAAAAAAGAAAAATTAAAATGATTCAAAACTGAAAATTGATTGAATAAAAAAATTCATTGTCCTTTTTATAAAAAAGAAAAGCGTCTAAGTCTCTGAAATATCCGTTATGTCTCGTAATGATCCGGTTTCATCAAAAAGAAATGTACATAGAATCGCTTGGAGTCGATTTCGAGCTGGCTCAAAGTTTGCATCCAAAGCTAAAGCTTGTCTATAAAAAGATATTGCTTTTTCTAAATCCCCCTACAAAACAAAACAAAATTTTTTAAATTTTAATTTAAATTAAAATTAAAAAAATATTTACCAAAGAAGTATGAATATTTCCAGCTGTAAAATGATTAACGGGAAAATCAGGTTTACTTTCCAAAGCTATATAAGCTACTTCTAAAGCATCACCATGAAATCCAACTCTAAAAATAATCGTCTCAAATAAAAGTTTGATTAGAATTTATTTCAGTACTTGTGCAAAATATTTGCTAAGCTAATCAACGGAACATCTTTCATATCACTTGGAACGTAGGTTAAAGCGTGTCGTAAACACGTTATCGCTTCTTCGGTATTTCCAACAACTCTCCAATAAAGAGCAGCGGCCGTCGCTAAAATCCACGACGTCGTATTTTCTTGTAAAGCGATACTAATTTTTGTACCCAATTCACGAATAGACGCGTGTTGATCACCGGCCATTAAACCCAACCATTCAGAAAGCGTTGTTTCAGGAACGCTTGGTAAACGATTTCTTAGAACCATCGCTGTTAAATGATCCAAAGTCGCTGAAGATGGTGGAATCGTATTCGAACAACGAGGTTTTACGTGTTCTTTTATTGATTTATGTAATGGTTTTAAATACGGAGATATACTATTAAGATTAAATCGATTAGGATTTGAAAAAAATGTTTTTTGGAGCTTACTCAATATTTCTTGCTGCTATACTTTGCCACATTGAAGTAAAATGTAACCAATCAGCATCTCGGATATGTTGACAGGCTTTATGTGATAAAGGATATTTTCCTGATTTATCATAAACGTAAAGCATTGGTTCCGGAACTGGATCATCAGTTAAAGAAACTGAAACTAAAATTTCTTTTTAATTTTCTAATCTTAGTTGTAAACAGATTTTACAAGAAATTCAATACAAAATGTATCATGATATTTTATGCTGAAAAAGAATGACTTGGTTTTAGCATAAATAAATGAGGTGTAAGAGATAAGTTGTTGAATATAAATCATTTATTGTTGGCTACAAAAGTATACAATTAAGTATTTACATAAACTTAAATAATCATCTTTGTAATACATGTTGGTTCCTTCCTCTTGTTCTTCGTCATCACCTCCGCATTCCAAACCCTTTCGTCTTTCCTTCCAATTAATTCCACTCCCACTCTTATCACCTTTCTTACCTTACCACCAGGATTCGCACAGTTTAGGCCCCCCACTCCACTTTCAATGTTCAGTGACGTAAATCAAAGCTTTCTGAAAGGGCGCACGTCTGCAAAACTGATCAGACTCTATTTATTTCATGTCAACTTTGCCCAATATCTTGCTTAACTCCATATCTATCTCAGTAATCCATCCACTTTCTAACTCCCTCATATGATGAGCCAACCATATAATGACCATAAATTCGAGTGCGAAATGGTTAATTATAAATAGTCGTGATGTTGAGAACTGTTACAATTGCTGTCGAAATGTACTCAAGAATGTTTCTTTTTTTTTTTTCATTTATTTCAAAAACCAGTCCAACAATGACAATGTTTTTCGTGGTTGCGTTGATACAAAAAAAGAAATAATTACATATAAGTACTATGGACTACAGAATATGTGACTTCCGAGCTGTGAAATGCTAGTCTATTAGGTCTTGGGCAAGCTTCCTCTTTAAACGCGTGTAGATTTGTTGGCGATGAACTTCATGCTGAACCGCACTAGAGCACTTACTGATATTATCAAAAAACTTTTTAGTTAGTTTTTTAATAAATTCGCTGATAGTTGTGACATTTAAGTCTTCATGGAGCTCCTCGTTTCTTACGAACCACGGCGCATTTGCAAAATCTTGGCCTAGCATTTGCTGGCATTGAGCAGAATGACCCATTTTGTTAAATATTTCTGGATTTTGTCCAGTGACCTTTGAAGTATCTCAATAACGTCAATAAGTAAGGATGTCATTTTGTCCCATATTAACATGTCATCATGCATAAAGATGTTGAACAGAGCAGGGGATAAACTACTACGTTGTGGGACGCCTTCAAGTATTCTTCGAGTGCTGGAGGAGTATCCATTGATGGTGACGGAGAAATTTCTCTTCTCCAGGAAGGAGAACAGAATGGCAAGTAAATAGTTGCTTAACCCCGTTTGATTGAGCTTGTAAACTTTTTAGCCTCGAACCCTTCCTTGATATATTCCGCTACTCATACCAGTTGGTGAACCGTGGAGTGTCCCTCTCTAAATCAGTACTGGATGTTTGGGATTATTTTGAGGAGGCTTAACTCTTCTTGTAGTCGATGATGGATGACTCATTCGAATAGCTTGGATAAGGATGAGAGGAGACTGATTGGGCGATAATTGGCTGGGTACGTATTGATTTTGCCTGGCTTTCTGAACATTAGGATTTGCGCTTGGTTCCATACTACCCGAAAGTAGCCAATTTCCAGACAGCGATTAAAAATTCCTGTGATGTGACTAGCATTGCTATTTCTACCTTTAGTTCTTCTACTGAGATTCTGTCGGTCTCGGTAGTTGCTGAAGTTAGTAGATGGGATTCATTATATTGTTGAATTGTGGTAATGTGACGAATATTCTCATTAATGATACGGCCGAAAACATTCTTCTAGTTATTCCGCAAAAGTGTTGGCTTTGTCTTCGTCCGAGAATATCGGTGTTTCATTGACTAATAGGGTAGGTATTTCTTCATATGTCCGCGTTATTTTCCTAGTGGTCTTCCACAAGCCCGGGTAATTTGTTTCAAAGCTTTCGATGAGTTTTCTATAATTGTTGATTCTATAGTCACCTAGTTCCTGAGAAATTGTATGAGTTAGTCTATTCATTGTAGTTTTTATTTCTGGGTTACGAGTCCGTTGCCTGTTTCGGCGAACCCTCCGTTTTTCCTTGTAATTGTTTGTAGGATTCTTTTTGAAGGGTTTCGTTGAAGAGATAGCTGCTTCCTTAATCTTTGAAGTCAGTGAGAGGATTTTTGCGTCTAAATCGTTCAGAGTAGCTGATGTTTGTAAGTTAAATTCTTGATTATTCAGTGAGTCTCCAAACTCTGCCCAGTTGATGAATCCATTGGTCAGCTTAGGAATTTTAGGTCTGTATTCAGATTGCTTTGCAAGGGTGATGATTACTGGCAAATGATCCGAGTTTAACTCGCTAATTACACACAGATTTAACTGGATGGTAAAATTTTTGGTTATTGCTATATCTAAAATATCCGGTTGATAGTGGCGTCTATATGAAAAGTAGGTAAAATCGATTGGGCACTTGAAAACCATATTTGGTTGCTAATAACTCCAGATTCAGTCCCGATGGATTTTCTGCTCTGCATCCCCAGAGTTTATTCTTGCTGTTAAGATCTCCTATAAGTAGGGTGGGTATAGAGCCACTCAACATTAAACTTATGTCAGTTTCTAGTAGTTTTTTGTTAGGTTGTTTGATTATATGATATTAACTGGAGTTGAGTTGTTTGTTTGGATTACTAATGCCGTTACTTCAATAGCGGTGGTTTTACAGCTAAATTGATGATGTAGAATTTGTCTTTTAATTATAATCGCTACCCCACCGGCAGCTGTGGCGGAAGGCCTATCTGCTCTATATACATTATATCCTGCTATTCGGAACGTCTCACTTGGAGCTAAGTGTGTTTCCGTGATACAAGCTACATCAATCTGATAGCGGGCCAAAAACGCAATAAGAAGAGTTCGTTGTTTTTTAATACCATTGGCTTTGAAATTCAGGGTGGTTAGGTTATGTATAATTGCTAGATTAGTCGTGAATTAAATGTGGGAGTAAATGGTTAATTACGAATGTTTTGATTTGTGGTATTAGGGAAATAAGGAAATCTTTAAGATAGGAGAGGATGGTAGATAGGAGAGGTGCCTGTGATTCCGAGGAATGTTGTTGGTTTGGTCGATTCTCTACTTGAGCTGGAGCTGGCGTGCTTTTTACTGTCGATGTCTAGCTCCTGATATTAGTCTTTGTTTGAGGTATTGCTTGTGAGCGCTGGGCTCTTTGCACAGGATGGACTGAAGTTGTTTGACGATGGTATTTGTTCTGATATTCGATGTCAATTTTACAGCCTCGATAGCTTATTGGATGATCTTGACCACAATTGGCACACTTTGGTGGATTAGCTTGAAGTTTTTTGCAATTAGTGTGGTTGTGATTTTCACCGCATTTGACGCACCTAGGGCTCATTGAGCAGTAATTTTTCGTATGTCCATATCGTTGGCAGTTATGGCATTGGGGAATCTTTTGGGAATTCCTCCTGGCTTCGACTGTGATGATTGCGTTGGAAATTTCCTTGACTTGATAGATTTCTTTGGCGTACTCTGTGGTTTCTAGGTCTGCTACGCATAAAGGTATGGGGTATTTCGACTTAATGAACAATCTCGTGACTCTTATGACTGGTAGGTTTAATTGATTCAATTCGGATTTGATTTCTTGATTGGATATTGATATCGGGACATTGCGTAAGATCACAGAAAGAGGTTTACTGGAGGGATCTTGATAGGTATGGAACGGAATTTTATTTTTTTTGCAGATTTGCTGACCGCTCTGTAATCATCAGCATCGGTTAGGTTTACTTTGGTATTTGAATGTTTGTACGTAATAGTGAAACTGTGTTTTGTGTCCACTTTTAAGTCAGTAATTAGTTGCTGGTGGTTTAGGGCACTATGGATAAAAATAGGGGGAATTTTTTGGTTTTTCCTTCTTTATTATTAGGGTTGTTTGAAGCCGAAGTACTACATTGCTCTCATCAGAAACATCCACTAAGACGGCATATTTATTTTGAGATAGGAGCGTTGTGGGATCCCATGAGTACCTCTTGTTGATTTCCTTGATGGGAGGAGATAAATGATCGGAGGTCCTTTTATTGTTCATAGAGAATAACGAAGCCATTAAGGGGCTTAAAAATGTTTATAACTGCAATAAGTTTGCACTTGTTTATCGAAAACCACTTGTTGAAAAATTCCAATGGGACTATAAAAACCGGTGCACAAACACGTCGCGCTAAACCTGTTCGGAAACGCGTCCGACCGTGAAAAATGCCCGATCGAGACTCAAGAATGTCTAGAAAGACGTCTAAAGTGAAGTATAGAATGGATACATATTCAGCCATTGCAAGACGCCCAAATCAATTTTGAGCGACTTGACAGAATCATAAACAAAGATGCCACCTCTACGCTATTTCTCGATTCTACTACCTGTCCAATCTGCCTTTTAGATTTCCTATATGCGACTTATATATGATTAAGTTGAATTGGCCATGTGGCCAGAATGAAGATAAAAAGTACCATAAGAATCAGCAAGGTGAACGAGAATAAAGCGAAGTACATGATTAAAAAAGCAGAAGCGCAGCAACACGACATACTTATCATCAACTTGGGACACTATTCACCGATAGAGGCCAAATGGCAGAAGAAGTAGCGGTCTCCTATGCTTAAAAATTCTCAACAGAATCTCCATTTAGCGGGAGACACTCCGTAAGATTTTCGGCCCAACCTAAGAGGAAGACGGTAGCTCAGGAAGAATCACAAACTAGCTAGCATGATAGGGGCGAGAATTTAAAGCATCTAAACAGGATCCAGAATGGTAGACTCACCAGAATGTTGATTGAATGGAAACCGTCAGAGAAAAGAAGGCGAGAGAGACCACGGAGGACATGAAAGATGACAGCAGAAGAGAATTTACGGACTATGCGTGTTGAACGATGGAGAGAGGTTTTCAAAGACAAAGGAAGAAGAAAAAAGATATGTGACGTATATATGGTTGTGATGCGTTGTAGCTAGAATAGACATAAAAAGTACTACCAGAATTATCTATAATCGCCGCTACCTGTGGGTAGAAGATAGGTTGGGAGTTAAAAAAGTGATCCATTTTGTGGACGATGTGGAAAAGAACCTAAGAAAGCTAAAGGTCAGAGGTTGGGGACGACAGGCACAGGTTCATGAGACAAGTTTGGAAGAAATTATTAAGACAGGCCAAGATTCACAACACGCTGTAGACCCAGGCTTGATGATGATATATGTCGCAAACATTTAATAGACAACCTTGTACCACTCAATTGATCGTCCAAATCCTTGGCTCATTTCTTCTTATCTATAAATCTTTTCCCTTTACAAATCCAGTTTAAAATCACTAAGAACTTTTTTCTAAGCATCTCCGTAACCCCACCCGCTTTTCCGCTCCTCAATGAAATTAACATTCGATTAAATGTTAATTACAATATTTCATGTAAGTTATCTCCCCTGGTTCTTCCTCGATTTGTTAATTTATTTCTAGCTTTTCCCTGTATCAGGTCTCTGCCGCCATATTATTTCACAACCACTTTACCCGCCTTCTATGTCTAATGTAAGACGCGAACATATTAAATGGACAATAATATATCCAGATTTAACACCTATTTAGATTATTTTCTTTGGAACTATTTACAATCCAAAATTTGTTTTGATATGCAAAAAACCTAATAGACGAAATCATTTTAATTATTACGTTGAAACTATTAAGAATGATGACTACCAGTGACAACTTGTTAACAATTTAATTTTGTAATTATCTCGTTTGTTTATGGTAGGATAAGCCTGAAAGTGGCAAAAATAAATTGATACAACGTTTTTGACAAAATACAACAATTATAATACAATATGATACATTGTATTGAGTTGGTTAAAATGGTTACAAAAGCTCAGATAAATAAGGTTTAATTTTTTGAACTTACCATAAAAGTCACCTAAAGTATTAACACTAGCAGCTTCATCACCCAAGGTAATTCTCATATGAAAAGCTTGTTGGGGTTGACTCATAATATTCTCTAAATGAGTCATTTCCGGTTCATTCGGTCGTAAACTAGCGCCAGAACCTTCACTAGCTAACAAAGAAATTAATGATTGCCCAACGGGAACTTTGTGTTTTGTACAATGAGCCTCAACATCATTCAAACTCGACGTTCTAACGCATTGAATCGACGCTGTTTTACATTGATCCCCATTTGGACTACAAATAACTCCTTCGCCGCTTATTGTATCAGCTTTCTTACACATTTCCTCTTGCGGTTTTTCAACAGGGTGTTTCAAATCTTCATAAGCACCCAACTTCACTCTACACGCCCAAGTTTTCAGTAAAACTTCGGCTTTTCCTTCGTAATAGTTAGGATCGACTCTCAATACATTTTTCATGTAATACATTGCAAGAATTGGGTTATTATTTGTGTAGTGTAATAAGGCCAACAAAAAATTTGTGCTTGGTTCGACGTAATTCACTTTAAAGGCTAAACTGGCAAATTTTATTGCGTCTTCAATTAAACCAAGTTGATGGAATATCGAACCCATTGAGACTAAAATGACGTCCGTGTGTTCTTTGGGGACTGTATCAAACGGTAGATCTAAACAACTTAATGCATTCTTTGTATTTGAACGTATTCGCCAGTATAAACTTGCTAAAGTTGCTAATACCCATGGTGGACCAGATTTCTATTTACAAAAAGAATGAATTATAGTAAAATCTCGAAAAGTATGTTATATGAAAAATTACTAATTTGTACCTTAAATTTAAGTTTAATGATTTATGCTAGTGATGGAACGGATAGTGATTTTGCGAAAAGCCGGATACCGGATATTCGGCCGGATATCCGGTTAACCGGCGATTATGGTTATAATTTCTGGTACAAAATGAATTTTTTTGATGCTAATTTAACTAACGAAGCAACTCTGAAAAGAGGATACTTTAATTAATTGGTGATATTTCCACAAGGATCCTTCAAGAAATTAATTTTATAGCGAATTTTGAAACTTATCGATGAAAATTGCAACATCGAAAATTTTATCAAAACTTCAAACATTGTTTTCTCAAAAACTAAAAATTGTTTTTCAAAACGTGTTGGTTTATTGGAAAGAGGACACTCTTGTTAACACTTTGGGAAATTTTCATACTCATCTTCCAAGAACTGGATTTTATACGAATATTTACAACTTAATTGGCGAAAATTGCAAAATTCAAAAAAATGGTCGATCATTTCAAAAATTTATTTCTCAAGAACTGAAAGTGATTTTTCAAAACGGCTTGTTGCATTAAAAAGAGGATACTGTAATTAATAATGGATGATATTTTCACAAGGATCCTTCAAGAAATTAATTTTATAGCGAGTTTTGTAAGTTATCGATGAAAACTGCAACATCGAAAATTTTATCAAAACTTCAAATATTGTTTTCTCAAAAACTAAAAACTATTTTTCAAAACGGGTTGGTTCATTGGAAAGAGGACACTTTTATTAACACTTTGGGAAATTTTCATACTCATATTCCAAGAAATAGATTTCATACAAATTTTTAAAACTTAATCGGCGAAAATAGCATAATTTGAAAAAATTGTCGATCATTTCAAAAATTTATTTCTCAAGAACTGAAAGTGATTTTTCAAAACGGCTTGTTGCATTAAAAAGAGGATACTTTAATTAATAATTGGTGATATTTCCACAAGGATCCTTCAAGAAATGAATTTTATAGCGAATTTTGCAAATTATTGATGAAAATTGCAACATCAACAATTTTTTTATCAAAACTTCAAATATTGTTTTCTCAAAAACTAAAAGTTATTTTTCAAAACGGGTTAATTCATTGGAAAGAAGACACTTTTATTAACACTTTGGGAAATTTTTCGTACTCATATTCCAAGAACTGGATTTTATACGAATTTTTAAAACTTAATCAGCAAAAATTATAAATTCGAAAAAATTGTTGATCATTTCAAAAATTTATTTCTCAAAAACTAAAAGCGATTTTTCAAAACGGCATGTTGCATTAAAAAGAGGATACTTTAATTAATAATCGAAAGTGATAACAGCGACAGTTCTGAAAACTAGACGAAACTGCAACAAGAAATTTTATATATGGTATTGGGATTGTTACAATGAGGTTGCTAATGACAAACATGATATAAATAAAGTTGTATTGAATGAAAAATGTCCTATAGGGGTTGAACTTGATTATTATCTGCCTGATTATAATACTTCCGCATTTTAAAAATAAGCTGGATTGGCCGAATATCCGTTCCACCACTAATTTATACATAGTATAGACAACTTGGGGAATACCCCGAGTTTATCTATGAACATGGAATAGAACATTAAATTAAATGGGGTCGTTATTGTGAGGTTATACTGTACATATTATAAAACTGATTAGTATATAGAGTAATATAGATTTACTTTATTCATAGCAGAAACAATTCTTTGCCCAATTTCAGCTTCTTCACCATTTCCTTGGTTAATATAACCTAAAAGTTGTTGTTGAAGAATTGGATGGGATTTTAAAGGTTTATCAATAACTCTTCTTATTGAAGAAGGTAAATAAGACTCGTCTTCCTCCATATCTGGGTGTTTACAAATTGGTGGATACCATGGTAGATCATGGTCCTTTTCTTCTGGAATGTCTATGTATTCTGATAAAATTTTATTAACCCTAAAATCATCATTAACCCAACAAAAAAAACTTCATTTCTAGGTTTATTTTCTTACTGATATCCTTTATTTTCTGGCGGTAAAAATACTGGGAGGTTTAAATTATCTTCTTGATCAATATCCAAGTCCCAATTAAGACACTCATCTTTTCCAGGCCATCCGGTAACATCAAAGTATAAATTATTTAAAGTAGATGTTGAAGTTGGAAAAACAGGATTTCCTAAAGGGGGCATTGAAGATCGTTTTTCTTTCTTACTTTTTACTTTACCCAAATGTTTCACTGCTTCCTTTTTACTTTGTATCTTATCTTTTTCTTTTCTCGACGCCCCGCGCGGGTAATTGGCTTTGTTCTTTGCCATTTGATCATTAATTTTTTTCGCTTCATTCTCTACGTTTCTTAGAAGTCTTCTAAAATTCATGATATCAAATTGCATACTTGTAGCAACATGGTTGTCCATAAAATCACAACTTATTGTGGATTTTTGATCTTCCGACGTGCGATAAATACATCTTTGACCTTTCTTTATAAACATATCATGAATTTTATCCATACTATAACCAACTAATTGCATTTCAATGGGGGCTTGTTCCCAAATTAAACGTTCTTGTAACCTTAACCATTGTTGTTGTTGACTGTGATAATCGTGGAGTTCCATTAAAATATCTTGTAATGATCTACAAAAAAAAGAAGTTTTTTTTGTTTATTTGATTTAAAGCGAAAATATCTTACTCATGTAAGCTCATTAAGCCATTTTCTAATTTTTGTCGACATAAAGTAGCATGTCTTACTGTTATAACATCCTGATAATCTGGTTTTAATTTTAAAACGTTATCATAACACAAAACTGATCTGTTATAATCAGCTAACATTGTATAAACATGACCCAAAGCTAAATAATTCATTGGTTCATAAGGAGCGTGATCAATTGCAGCATGTAATATTAAAGCTGCTTCTTTGGAATGTTTTGTAATATGGAAAATTCCAGCTAATGTTAATAATGGTATATCTCTATATTGACTAAAAATTATTAATTTAAATCATTGCTTTGTAACACAACCAATAACTTACTAAGGAACATAAAATAAAGCTCTTCGAATACATTCAATAGCTTGAAAAGCTTCCCCTTCCATTCTCCAATACATAGCAGCTAAATTATAATGAATCCAAGATGTTGAGTTTTTTCTTAAAGCTAAAGCAATTTGTTCTGCGAATTGTACAGAAACTTCAGCATCAGCTTCAGCAACAGGTATAGCAGGAATACTCAAATTTTTTCTATCAATCATAGGTTGTAAATGCTCATATGTAAACATGCTATATCCAACATCACTGTATTTCATACATTCAGGAACAGCATCAATAATTTCATCTTCTGAATCATTATCAAGTTCAATGCTAAATCCCCTATGACTCCCATTGGTGAAAATGGTTGTGTATAAATTAATTTCACTTAATAAAGTTCCCGCTTTTAAACAATCAGGATCTTGTGTGTAAACTCTTGTTTCAACATCTGAGGCTCCTTCTAATCCAGTCCATTTCATGTCGATTACTGTTTTTCGATTAACTAAATCTTTGTATAAGACGTTTATATCATTTTTTCGGGTTTCTTGGTCTATTAGAGCGAATAAATCGTAAGGTCTTCTTAGATAAAACGGGGATTCAACCTGGTTTTTTGAAAAGAATAAGGGTACATAACCTATAAGTTCATTCCAATTTTTTTTGGAGGTATTAATGGAACTTACCTTGGCTTGAATTCGACCATTTTCGGTGACGATCCAATGGCTAAACGAACGACAACTATGAAAGAATTGGAAAGCGAATAAGATAAATTTCCACAGTTTAATTTTCACCATATTTCATGTTTTAGTCTCACGCATGTCAACAGAAAGTCTCTCACTAAACTCTCGCATGTGACAGAAGCGTTTCTCCTTCCTACTCTTAACCGATAGGGGATGTTAAAGAGATAAAAATCTACAGGTTGTTGAGACTTTTAATATTCTATGACACGATTTATACAACGCCAACAGGAAATTCATATCTGTTTCTTTTATTGTGGTTATCGTTTTTGGTTGCTTATGTGTCAAAACTTTATCATTTTGCTGAGTATACAACATTTTATCTTTTTAAACATAAATTAATCCAAAATAAATGTGTGTTTAAAGAAATTTATCAGGATTATCCAGGAATCAGTAATGGTTATGATAATTTCAATCAAATTGTAAAAAAAAAGGATTTTTTTAATTATATTTAATGTATTTGTATAGGCAACCAATTATACGTGTCGTTTCTTTCAAACCTCAGAATTCAGGATAACAACCTTAAGATAACAGGGCTGTTTTACAAATTCAAGCTACAACCCAAATACGTTTAAGATATGGGTCTTCAAATTTTCCAATAAGTTTAGGTTCCAAAAATTTAGGACAAATCCTTAATGGGCCTTAGTATTGCTCCAAGGTTTTCTTCCTTTATGTCAGTAAGTGTCAGGTGAACCTTTCAAAAAATTAGAAATTAGAATTTAAAAGTCTCTGACTCGTCGAAGTTTGATCCTCAGCTTGTCCAATGTTGAAGAGGTATGTTGATTTTATGGCCGGTTAGGAAACCTAACAGTGACCTTAGGTCCCCTTTGCTGACTTGGTTTTCTTTTGCGACAGAATTTTTATACTTTTCGCCTGTCTGTGTCCTAGAAGTTCTTTCCAACGCAAGTACGCTGTTTTAAGTGGCTTTTTTGTAGTCCATATCCAAGTTAGGGGTCCAATAAAGGGCGTCCTTGCTGCCTCCTTGGCCAGCTTGTTCGCCTTTTATTGACCTCAATTGTAAGGAGCGGCTATTAATTCGACGTGTGGGTGTCCAATGCGTATGCGACAAATTGGAATTTGTCATGCAAATATGGATTTTGACCAAAATAACTAAAAGTAAAAGAAATTTTAATTATTAATCTTTACTTTAATTATCAATACTGTCAAAACAAATTGCAAAATAAAACAATAAAATAAAACATACCAAACAAAATAGAACAGAATCTATTAGTAATTGCACCCAGTGTAATTGGTCACATAAAATTACTAAAAAAGGGTTATAAATCTCATCGTTGCAAACTTCTTTCGATCAACGAATCTTCTGAAGTCCACCCTTGGAACTCCAAATCATGAACGGCTCACTCTACTTCTGGATCTTGGAGTTCCTCCCATCACTGGAACTCTTCAAATAACTGTTATTGCGCCAGCTCAGAACTGACTAGCCTTTGAACTCTATCTCAAACTGGACTGACTCAAAAAAAAATCGTTTCCATTGGCCAAACAACGCGGACTCCCGAAAACTTTCCGCACTAAACTAAAGTAGGGGAGAAATCATACAGGAAACCTTTTCCAACATAATAGAACAAAAAATTGAAAAACAAAGATAAAAATCAATCAATAAATTTTAACCGAACCCATGGTTCACTACACAATGCCTTTGTGACCTGGAATCCATCATAGAGTAACTTCATTGCTCCTGGCGAGTTTCTTCAGATTGTATGCTGACGAGGTTCTTTGCCTGAATTACCTTTAGAGCGGCCCGATTGTTCATAAAAATGTTTATCCCTTTTCTAGGTTCAAAACGGAACAAATTTATAGCAAGAATTTCAGCTTGAAAAATGTTTGTATCCAGGCTTAGGAACAACTTAATGCTATTTGTTCCCCTAATGCCGTTCAATCATCTTTTCTTCTACACATGACCTTAAATTGAAAAATATTACTCGAGTAAGTACCAAGGACCACAACCGATTTTATTTTTCTGCCATTATCTATAATTTGGGTCATAGTTTGGAGACGGTCGAATCAATTCAAAACTAACTGCGATCCATTGATAGCCATCGAGCTATCAGCTACCTTATGGTCACCGACGGTATGCTTTACTGAAAACAACAATGCTTATGATTAAGATTGTGAGCTGGTGCGACTGGTTCAAGTGTTAATAGCATCTTGTCATTAGGTGGAAAGGTTTATACAATGGCTTGAAGTAGTGGGACGGATATCACTGGAGCTAGGACCTACATACCTCAGAGTCAATTCACAATTAACATATTTCGGATATCCCATCCATATTGAATAATGGTAAGATAACTTTTGGAAGGCTTTTTGATCGATCTAAAAATAATAGCCTAGAAGAGCAATAACCGATCATAAGTGGAATCAATGATATACATCGTAGTTTTTCGGAAAGCTATGAATTTGTTAACGTTTGTTTATCTATAAATTAATTAGTTTATATATGGGCTAAATTTATAATACTAAATATAACCTGTATTCTTTCCATTGTTTTTAAGTAATCCTTAAATATATCGTTCGTTTGTTGATGAGGTAAGAGTTGCAACAAAATAATGGGCTCAGCATTAATCCGAACAAAGTAGAAATAGTCCCTTTCACGCGGAGAAGGAAGGTACAACTGAAAGCACCTTCCATTGAAGGCAAAGTTATTAATCTCCAAACAGAGGTTCAGTAAATTAAACTGGAATTCCCACATCGCCAAGGTGAGTATATCTGCAGGCTTGAACCGGGCATATGTGGCACTAATTAGACCTCAAGACAGAGCAGCAACAGTTGACACAAATCCTACGGCTAGTATGTCTTAATATAACGGGTGCAATGCGTTCTTGTCCGACGGTTGCTCTTGAAGCCCTTCATCAACACCACTTCATCTGTACATACAAAAGGAGGCAGCTTTATCACTGAAGACATGCTCTCGAAAACCTCAGGGACACATGACTAAAACACTTGATTGAAATTAAAACGGATCATACATTGACAGAATATAATTTCGACCAGCCATATAAGGTCATGTTTAAAAGGAGGGATAATTGAACGAAGGGTGAGCCTCAACTGAAACGAGTAGCCTTTGCCTGGTACATCGATGCTTCAAAGATAGTTGGATCCGGATTAGGTATGGACAATAGTGGACCAAATAGCCGCATTAAGTTACCTCTAAGCTCGTATACAACCATTTTTCAAGCTATAGTTCTTGCCATAAACTTCTGCACTATTTGGAACATTGAAAAAGGAGAAAAAAAGGCATTGATAAACATTTTTACCAAAAACAATCTCACCAGGGACAATGAAGTTATTCTGTGGTGAGTTCCAGGTCACAAATATGCCACTTAAAAGAGGTAATTAATAGATGCTGGAAAGAACTTCTAGGATACAGACAGCAAAGAGGACCTAAGGTCACTCTCAGGCTTCCAGACCGGCCATACGCCCGTAAAATACTATCTCTTCAACCTGGGACAAGCTGAGGATCAAACTTGTCGACTTTGCAACGAGTCAGAAATCGCTGAACATATTCTATGTGAATACGTCGCGAGAACTAAATTTTCGGAAAGATTCGCCTGACACCTACTGACATAAAGGAAGAAGACCTTGAAGCAATACTAAGGTTCATCAAAGACCTAGATTTACCCTAAACGTTTGGAAGGCTTAAGTTTAGTGATGGACCGGATAGTGATTTTGCGAAAAGTCGGACACTGGATATTCGGCATCCCCTTCGGCCGGATATCCATTTCTGAAGTGATACCCTACATTGTCACATTATTGCAATATTTGAATAAAAATGAAATTAATAAGAAAGCTGATAAGATATATCAACTTATTTGGATCCAAGATACAAAATGAACTTTTTTGATGCTGATTTAACTAACGAAGCAACTCTAAAAAGAGGATACTTTAATTAATAATCGAAAGTGATAACACCGACAGTTCTGAATAATAATGAATGTGATGATGAGTTACAACCGAAGAGAAGAAAACTAGACGCAACTGCAACAAGAGATTTTATATATCGTATTGGAATTGTTACAATGAGGTTGCTAATGCCAAACCTGATATAAATACAGTTGTATTCAATGAAAAAAGTCCTATTGGGGTTGAACTTGATTATTGTCTGCAGTGATCAACTCCTAAAAGAGATACTAATTCCTGTGAACGGTGGAGTACTAAGTAATAGATTTTTAATATCCGGTCAAAGCCGAATGGGCCGGATACCGGACAATAGACCTCATAAGTCGCGGTGATGAGAGGTTCCACTCTCCTCAGTTCAGCAGCAATAATAATAATAAGGGTTGCAACAATAAAAGTTCCTTCTCCCTTATTGTTGTTAATCTTTGTTTATTGTCGTTATTATGTTCACAATCTTAATTATCGTCTATAACGCATCGAGTTGATTTATTTAGTGTAATTCTAAAGTTTTCCATTTTATATTTAATTTGCTTGCTGTTGTTATATGCTGTTTGTTATGATATTTAGTGTTTCTCACGTGTTTTTTGTATCATTTAATTTTTTTATTTTCGTTTGGCTCGCATCATTGAAACGTACTCTTTTGACGTTTTTGATAATAGTTTCGCTGTATATCCAACTCCATTGAATTCTGTTGCAATATTTTGAATAACATTCAAGATTATATATTTATAATTTCTCCAAATACATGATGTTGTAGAAATATTTTCGCCATATTCTTGTTATATTAAAGAAAAATCTGAATTATACATCAGAATATCCGTACGCAACGATTATATTGTATTATTCATTTGTTAAGTATGCAAATGAAACACCTTTCATTCCGGGTTTAACAAACATTTCTCTATGATTTTTAAGTAGCACGCATTTATTGTTACAGCTTCTTGTCAATTGAGTTACGTAAAAATGGTTAACCTCTACAACTGTAATCTTAACGGTATTTACACTAGTTCAACTTCCTTGTGAAATTTTATTTACTGATAACACCAGCAGTTAATTATTAGAATTATAATAGAAAAAAATTGTGATATCGATAATTTATTTTATATTGCGTAAATCAAATTCGATTTTAATAAATTATTAATCTTATGACGAATAAGAGTAATTCGACATAAAGAAACTGGTATAATCACTTTTTTCTAATCTCGGCAATTTAATATCGGAATAATTATTTTCTAGCTTCAAAAGAGAGTCTGACAAAAACAAGCTATTACATGTTTTTGTGTACCTGTAATTATTAAACAAAGATAAATAGTTTTTTAAGAGTATTTGAACTTTGTCGATGACAGTTAAAATAATTCCGAGCAACGTTTCAAGTGGTTTTCTGACCGCGTAGAAAAGACCACCAGAAGCCTCAACGGAGCGCAGTCTTTCATCAGATTCGCACTATGACGATCGTACAGATAGAAAACACGCCGGTCGATATTCATTTCGAAGATTTAAGTTATTTAGTTAGCAATGGAAAATCAGGTAAGTTGCTTTTCCGTTTTAATTTTATTAAATTTTGGCCTATTTGAATTCAAAACGCGCAGGTCGACCCCTATTAGAAAGTCAAATTTGTTTTGAAACCGAATCCCAAAGCAATTGGGTAATTGAAAAAGGTAAAAAGTGTAATGACCAAGTTTCTAAATAAAAAATTATTCAATAATGACGTTTAAATTGTTTTTTCAAGAATAATTTGCGTTTAATTGATTAATTTGTATTTATTGTTTTCCCATTCAATTATTCGTTTAACGAAGTAAATTAGAAATAACAATAAAATAAATGATGTTAATTAAACCTTGATTTACATAGGATGATTAAGATAAAATTATTTTGCATACTTCTCACACTAACAATAAGTTATGTATTAATTAATTTTATAGGAACGAAAAAGATTATAAAATCACACAATGGGACGTTTTATTCTGGAAATTTAACAGGGATTTTAGGAAGTAGCGGGGCTGGAAAAACAACTCTTTTAAACATTTTAGCAGGATATGTGTAAATAAAATTAAAAAATCTAAAACCAAAAAGGAATGATTCATTCCGATTCTTTTTTTAGAAACCAAGGGGTTTTAGGAAAAATTTACATAAATAATCAATCCAGAGAATTAAAAACATTCAAAAAAATCTCAACTTTTATAATGCAAGAAGATCTCCTTCAACCTTTTTTAACAGTGAAAGAATACATGATGTGTGCCATTAATTTAAAAATGAGCCCCAATTTAAGTGAATCTTGTAAAGAGTCCATTGTGAGTTGATTTCTAGAAATCAAATTCTAATAAGAAAATTCTAATGGATTTATAGGTCATTAGTGTGGCGGAAACTCTTGGACTTTCTCGTTGCTTGAATACTAGGTCGGAACACCTATCCGGGGGTCAGAGGAAGAGGTTGTCTATTGCGGTTGAGCTTGTTAATGATCCACCGATTATCTTTCTCGACGAACCAACCACGTGAGTTTAATTTAACATTTAATGTTTATTTCATTTTGTAAGACGTCCTAGATCTTATCAGAGCTTGAACAATTTCAAACCGGTTCTAAAAAAATAACAACAAGAATGATGTTTATTTATAATTCTTCGCTATAATTATAAAAGAAGATTAACAAAAACATCTTACTGAAAGACGCGAAATTGCGAAAGCTAAAATGTAAAGAATTTCGATTTCATTTTATAGTTTGTTTTGGTTGCGCAAATTATAATCTGTTTGTTACGTTCTTAAATCTTTTAAATTGTATATTACAAAAGAATTAAATTTATAGTAGATATTTTTTTAATAATCTCAATGCAATTTATTCACCTTGAAAACCTTGTTTGTTTTTAAACATCATTATCTTTTTTTTTTCTTTATAATTGTTCCGCCTGGATCCTTAAATTGATTTACATATCTTAAAACTGAAACCTTGAAATTCAAGAGGTGACTTTTATTAAACCACTTCTTATGCATCTGTTTGAATAAATTTAGAGGTCTGGACGATGTAACCGCAAAACAATGTATGCAGCTTTTAAAATCGTTAGCACAAAAAGGAAAAACCGTGATTTGCACGATTCATCAACCTTCGGATTCCTTATTTAAACTCTTCGATCAGGTATGAATCAAAAATTATAATATTAAATTGATGTTTCATATACAGGATGTTCATCAAATTTACAATTTCAATTATTTTAAAAGAATTTTTTCTTCATTCTTGAGTTAATTGTCATGAAAATTTAAAATTCGTCAAAATTCACACATTTTTTATTTAATTTACAATTAAAATGAATAAATCTTTTATATGAGACAACAATTTTATTAAATTATAGTAAAACCTTGATATAACGGACTTCGTTAGATGAATATTAGCTAGTTTAATACATCATTATCAGAGTCAGAAACAGCGCTCCTTCAACTATCTTAATCCGGATTTTTGTCGGTCAATATCTATCAGTATCATGCTTAAATCACCATTAACATACATGCCAAAAACTACTAAATTCACACGTCTCAGCCAGTTTTAAACCTTGTTCCGGACCATTGTTTAAAAACCCAACATGGTCAAATCGTTTATCTTTAGCCAGAGTCTTGTTAAATTGGCTCGATTCCAATAAACTATTACTCATCTTTGGAAAAACTAATTTCATCACTTTCTCCATACATGCTGATTCTCAACCTACAGTCTCTGACCTTTTGATACACAACGACTTCTTTCAACAAACTGATTGTGATTGTTCTAAGATTACTAGAGTTATTTCGGGTGAGATGTGCATATTGGGAATATGTGCAAAAAACTAAGATCAATAATGTTCTTGATCAAAAAGCTATCACCTCATGTGCCGAGCGCTTTCATGAAATATTACTTTGCAATGATTGAAGCAAATTTGAGAAACGGCATTATTGCTTGGGGAGCAACTTGGGTTGATTTTAAAAACTTTACTTAATGTGGGTATAACATTCCAGACTTATCAATTATTTATAAAATATGAGGTATTATCAGTCCCTCTAATCTATGTTAAAATTGTAAAATAAAAAAATATGCGTTACAACACCCGAAAATCCAGCGAGTTGTAGACCATGGTCAAGATACTCGCTCTAGAATTCGTATGGACGTGCTACTAACAAGAGCATATAAAGTAGTGGTGGAACGGATATCCGGCAACTATCCGGTATTCGGCCATTTTTTAAAATCCGGCCGGATACCAGATAGTTACCAAAACTATTTAGTTAAAAACCTATTACTTAGTAAAGGAAAATGTTTAATTTAATTTAATAAAAAACTTCTTACTTGCTTGTGAATTATTTATTATTAATGGTACCGGTTTCGACTACATCTAGTCATCATCAGCCAAATCGTCAGAAAAAGAGTTGTTAAAATTTAGAAAATGTAGATGTAACACATGTGTTTAAACATATTAAAATATTATTAAAATGTTAAAAATTAAAAATTTAAAGTGTCACGAAATAAAATGAAAACAGAAAGAATTATAACATAAGAAGTGCTCGTCCGGACGTTTTGTTCTTGTTTCTGTTTTCATTTTATTTCGTGACAGTTTAAATTTTTATTTTTTAACATTTTAATAATACTTTAATATGTTTAAACACATGTGTTACATCTACATTTTCTAAATTTTAACAACTCTTTTTCTGACGATTTGGCTGATGATGACTAGATGTAGTCGAAACCGGTACCATTAATAATAAATAATTCATAAGCAAGTAAGAAGTTTTTTATTAAATTAAATTAAACATTTTCCTTTACATATATATAAACTTGCAACATGGATTCCTACAACAATTATTACTTACTACTCCACCATTCACAGGAATTAGTATCTCTTTTAGGTGTTGGACACTGCAGATAATAATCAAGTTCAACCCCAATAGGACTTTTTTCATTCAATACAACTGTATTTATATCAGCTTTTTCTTTAGCAACCTCATTGTAACAATCCCAATACGATATATAAAATCTTTTGTTGCAGTTTCGTCTAGTTTCCTTCTCTTCGCTTGTAATTCATCATCACATTCATTACTAACAGAACTGCCGCTGTTATCACTTTCGATTATTAATTAAAGTATCCTCTTTTTAATGCAACAAGCCGTTTTGAAAAATCGCTTTTAGTTTTTGAGAAATAAATTTTTGAAATGTTCGACAATTTTTTCGAATTTTGCAATTTTTGCCGATTAAGATTTAAAAATTCGTATAAAATCCACTTCTTGGAATATGAGTACGAAAATTTTCCAAAGTGTTAATAAGAGTGTCCTCTTTCCAATGAACCAACACGTTTTGAAAAATAACTTTTAGTTTTTGAGAAAACAGTATTTGAAGTTTTGATAAAATTTTCGATGTTGCAATTTTCATCGATAACTTACAAAATTCGCTATAAAATTCATTTCTTGTAGGATTCTTGTGGAAATATCGCCAATTATTAATTAAACTATCCTCTTTTTAATGCAACAAGCCGTTTTGAAAAATCGCTTTTAGTTTTTGAGAAATAAATTTTTGAAATGATCGAAAATTTTTTCGAATTTTGCAATTTTCACCGATAAAGTTTTAAAAATTCGTATAAAATCCACTTCTTGGAATATGAGTACGAAAATTTTCCAAAGTGTTAATAAGAGTATCCTCTTTCCAATGAACCAACACGTTTTGAAAAATAACTTTTAGTTTTTGAGAAAACTGTATTTGAAGTTTTGATAAAATTTTCGATGTTGCAATTTTCATCGAAAACTTGCAAAATTCGCTATAAAATTAATTTCTTGAAGGATCCTTGTGGAAATATCACCAATTATTGATTATAGTATCCTCTTTTTAATGCAAAAAGCCGTTTTGAAAAATCACTTTCAGTTCATGAGAAAAAAATTTTTGAAATGATCGACAATTTTTGCGAATATTGCAATTAAATTTTAATATAAAAGCCCGGCTTTTCGCAAAATCACTATCAGTTCCATCACTAATATAAAGCTATAGGTCAAAGGTGTTTTACAACAAGTTTAGAAAATATATTACTGAACATCACATTTCTGTGAACTCGAGGAACGCTGCTTTCACTGTTAAGACATGCTTACACTGAGGGAAATTATTCTTGACTTTCAAGAAAAATTTATTCTTGAATGTATTTCTTAGAAACAAGTATAAGATACTCTTAAAACAAAAATATTTGTTTGTTTTAAGAATAGAAATATTATCGAATGAAGTATCTCATATTCTTAGCATCGAAGAATATTAATTCTTTGTATCAAAAAATTCATTCCTGCGTCAATAATTTATAATACTCAAATGAAGAATTATACAAGATTATTGTTACATGAATAAGTTTTTCTAAAAAGAAAGATACATTATTCTTGACATAAGAAATTTATTCTCGATACGAAAATGGGATTGTTGACGAAACAGTAAGATACTCTTTTTCAAGATGATTGATTTACTTTCACTAAAAATTCGTTTTCTTGAGAATCAAGAATATTTGTATACTTGCTTTGAGAATATGTGGTTTTTCTTCACTTAACAAAATGATCTTCTTGCGGATATACAAGAATATGATAAGCTTGTGCCAAGAGTAATAATCTTCATTCAAGAATATATTTCCCTCAGTGTAAAAACACTAGATAGTAATGGAAATTTGTGCAAAATCCTAAATAAAGCATTTGCTAATTCATTTGTAAAATAGTGGTTGCTTACCTATACGTGACGTCACGAACGGTCCTTCGAGCTATGCAATTGTTCTCAGCATTAAAATTATCCATCTCAAATAGTTTTAGTCCGTTATATCGAGGATTTACTACATTTTTAAAGTACTTAGTATACCAAAAAAATTTTTAGGTTTATTTTATGGACAGTGGTTATTGTATTTACAACAACAACGTTCAAAGTTTAGTTCCATTTTTATCATCGTCAGGATTTGATTGCCCAAAAACTTACAATCCGGCCGATTATAGTAAGTTATTAAACAATTTCAATATTTTCTATGTAATAATTCATTGTTTTAGTTATCGAATTAACTCAATCAGACCCCAATAATGTTCTATTATTATCTAAACAAGCCAAATCATTTCAATATCACCAGAAAAGAAAGATTCAAGAATTACCAAATGGACTCCAAACCGGAAATAATAGAACCTTCCGAAATGATCGCGTAAATTTTTGTAGGCAAGTTTTAATATTATTACAACGAAGTTATTTACAAATATTCAGAAATAAATCGAGTTTATCCTTGATGTTATTTCACCACGTTTTAAGCGGTGTATTAATTGGTTCGATATTCTTTGGCATTGGTAAAAATGCATCGATGGTTTATGAGAATTTTAAATTCGGAATGACTGTTATTATTTATGTCGTTTATTCAAATGCTATAGTCCCAACCTTGACTTGTAAGTTTCCGATCACAACCCATTCACGTATAGATAATCATAAACAATTAACTTTTAATTATTTTTATTACAACCGTTTTTGTAGATCCATTGGAAGTTAAACTAATTAAAAGAGAGTATTTTAATGGATGGTATAGCTTAAAAGCATATTTTTTAGCTCTGGTTTTAGCACCACTTGTATTTATGGTATAAAAAAGAATAATTTGTTGTGGATGTATTAAATATAATTTTTTTTTAGTTTATAGCCGTAAATATTTTCATATTAATATGTTATTCGATGACGGATCAACCGATGGAATTAAACAGATACATTCTGTTTACAATCCCTGTTATTTTACTTGGAATGAATTCAAATACTTTTGGAGTTGCAATTGGAGCTATGTTTAATCCAAAAGTAAGTTTGATTTAATTAATCTCTATAATCTAATTTGAGCACGAATGGCAAACATCATTTGCAATTCAAAATACATCAACACTACCTAAAGTTTTCATTTAACTCGTCACATAACAACATTCATTCATCAATTATAAAACAAAAATGCACGGATTAACGTCATGTTTACTCTTACCCAATTGCTAACCAAGCTGCTTTATCGGATCATAAAGCAAATATGCTCACTTAACGGTTTGTTAAATGTTAATTAATTTAATTGTTAATGTGGAGATAGAATTTTATTTATGTTGTATCAATTGGGTTCAAGGTCGTCAAGTAGAGCTCTTAGAATTTCTCCACTTTTAGCATCAAACATCAATAAAAAATACTAAAACAAGACCATCGTGCGGGCCATAATTTCCTATTAACAACATTAGCTTAAAAGCTTAAGATGCAGAGTCTAAACAAAAGAATGAATGCGCCAGCTACAGAGCTGCTTCAAAATCAGCTAGAAACAATATCAAAACCAGATTACTCTGACGACTTTAATACATTATGGAACACTACCAAAGCTAGTAGATAGAAAGAGCAGTAGATAACTGTACTTCCCAGTGGACATCTGACGACACATTCGACATAATAAAACAAACCACCTAAACAAATGAACAAACAAGAATAATTACATAAAGAGAATTTGCGAAAACATACAACACTACAAATACTTTACAAAAAAGTTTATCCCCCGTATCCAAATTATAAAGAAAATGCTGATGCAGATGATATATCAGAGGTGTGAAGGGAGCACTGCCAAAATCTATACACAACGAATATCCATAGAAACGAATATGTGGGAATCGATCAAACACCAGAATAGCCAGAAATGTTAAGATCTAAAATAGAAAGAGATCTTCAAAGCCATGGGAGAGCAAGAAGTGGCTCAAAAATAGGGAGCACAAGACAATGGCCAGAGAGAATGGTGCGAATTACTGGTAACACAGATCATCTAGTCATATCCCTAGAAATCAATCTATAGCCAGAGCGGCCACAGTAAAACTAACCAAAATTTGGATAGACCGATCTAATACTAGAAATACCAAGATGCTCAAGATTAATCAAACGTCACGAACGCATCCAAAACGTGGACATTGAACAAGGACGGAAAGAAGATCGCAGCTTTTGAGGTTTGGATCTACAGGCGATTAAAGACAGATTAAGTTGATTAATAGATCATACCTTAGCCACTTTGGACATCTACCGAATAGATGGAACACCTTGTTGCAGAGGGAAAATGAGATGAGCTGATAGGCTGAGGGACACTCGATGCACCAGGCCATACAGATGGCACATCACCAAAACCCGTTCAGGGGTAAAGTAACTAACAAGAAGGATGTTACAAGTAACACTAGGGAAGTGCCATAAGGCGATTTTCTTGAAATTTGGCACATAAGTAGTGTATGGAAAAATATTCGACACGTATATTGTCATTTCTGCCCGATCGCCGTTTTAAGCGTAGAAATCATCCTTTCGAAAGGGTGATTTGTGTGCCAAACATGTTAGATGTTTTGATTAGCAGATATTATATCAAACTTAAAACAGAACAATGCGCTTACCTGATTGTATTAGCACGTTCTAATCAAGTTACTCAAACCGATGACATTGCTGAAGTTGGGTTGGGTTGAACACTTGAACGAAGTGGATTCCTAAAAAAAATTTGGAATTTAAAATTATATTTTTAAGAAAAGTCAAGTTCAAAAACTCATATTTGTGCTTGTAATCTTACAAAACAGCTTTGAATTGTTGAGCAAACCCAAGTTTGTTGAACTACTCAAGCCTATGAGCAGTTCATATTGAATGATTTCACATCTCGGTTCTTGAATTTGTTCAAATCTATGTTCTTGAATCAGCAATGAGTCTTTTTTTCAGCTATGCCAAGTTTGTACTAGCAAATTTCATACAAATTGATATTCTTGAAAATTCAAGTTCATTTTAAAACTCAAGTCTATAATAAAAAAACCATAAGAGAAATGAATAATATGGGAAAGACCAATCATCAAATAAGAAAGCTAATGCAAAAGCCAAATTGAGTTCTTGAACATAACCATAGGTACCATCAAAATCAGATATGATTCTTTGGTCAGTGTTAGTCGCGTTAGTAGTGTTAGTATTGTAACTTACCCCATCCAGAGGTTGAGAGCAGATTTAGGTCCTTGATGAACTTTTAGTATTGCTCCAAGGTCTTGTTCCTTTATGTCAGTAGATCTCAGGCAAACCTTTTGTGTCTTAGGTGACCTCTGACTCAGCATTCACATAGAATATGTTCAGCGGTCACTGACTTGTCGTTGCAATGTCGAAAAGTTTGATCTTCAACTTGTCAAATGTTGAATTGACGGTATTTTAGGGGCGTGTTGCCCGTCAGGAAATCTGAGAGCGACCTTAACTTTCCGTTGTAAAGGCATAAAATCTCTTTGGTTTTCTTTTGCGACGGAGTTATCATCCTCTTCGCCTGTCTGTGTCCTGGAAGTTTTTCCCAGCGCAAGGCTACCTTCCAGTCCTCCAATGTGCTAATTAACTGTTTTATGTGACGTTTTTATAGTCCACTGCCGGGTTGGGATCTAATAAAGGACACGCTGCCTTTTTGGCCTACTTGTCCACCTTTTCATTGCCCTCAATATCTTTGTAACCTGGAACCTATCATACAGTAACTTCATTGACCCTGGCGAACATACGATTCATACGTATAGACCTGAATTGTTTTTACGACGGCCCGAATGTTCGTATCAAGATTCAAAACGGTGCAGAAGTTTAAAGCAAGAACTTCAGCTTGAAAAATGGTTGCATCCGAGCTTAAGAGCAACATAATACGGCTATATATCTGGTCCGCTGATGTGCCAGGCAAGAGCTCCTCTTTTGAGTTGAGGGTCGGCCTTCGTCCATTCTTCCCTGCTTCTAAACATCGAAATTATATTGTCAGTATATGATCCGTTTTAACTTAAATCAAGTGGTTCAATTCAGTGATAAGGCACTGACACATTTAGTTAGAAAGAGTAGAAACTGTTCAAGAAGTTTTTTTCATATATTGTACTTTGCAGTTAAATGCGTAACAGTTATATTAATGAATAATAAAAGGTGCGATCAGATAAAACGCTATAAATGTATGATCGATATTTAAAACAAAAAACATTTACAAACAAATTTTATCCTATGTAATAAACAAACACTTTTTTTTTTAGAATGGTGCAGCAATAACCCCATCAACATTAGCTCCATTAGTAATTTTAGGCGTTTATGGTATGGGATTTGGCCGTTTCGTTCACCCTTTTATGAAAGCCGTCATTCACGTGAGCTTTTTCCGTTATGGAATCGTAGCCTTCTGCAGCACCATTTTTGAAAACAGACACGACCTCGTCTGCCCCGAGATTTATTGCCATTACAAAGACACGGAATTGTTCTTGAAAGATATGGGAATGCACGGGACGTCGTACTCTTTACAAATAATTGCTCTGCTCGCGTTTTTGACCTTGCACGTTTGTTTTGGTTATTTCTTTTTAAAATTAAAATTTTCTTCCGATTTTATGGAACATGTTAAAAGAATACGATTGAAAATTTTTAGTGTGTAATGTTCAATAAATTATTTGTTTTATTAAACTGTTTTTTTTTTAAATTTATTATTTAAGTTTAAAAACGTTAAATAATCAATTTGATTCAGCAATAAAATTTTTTTGAATGGATAAGTGGATTAGGATATTACTTGTTGAAAGGTTGTTGCTCTTCATGGTCAATCAACTCGCATTAATCTTGAACCAATTTAATGTAATTCAACTTAAATAAAACATTTTTTTTTAATTATTAACTTAAATCTAACAAAATTAGATATACCTAACAAAATTATATCAAACTTTTTTAAATCCTTTCTTTTTCTTTTGGGCCTTCATAATTTTTTCTTTTAATGCAGCAATATCGACCTTAACTTTATCATTTTTAACTGTGTTATTACTAGATTTATTTTCTTCGGGGGGAATAAAAGCTTGTTGTCTTCTTTCTTCCCTCTTTTTAGCAGCTTCGATATGTTTCTCATCTTTCTCTTTTCTAGCTTGAACCCTTTTTTGGTCTTTATTCAAGAAATACTCCCCAGAAGCAAGTTGTTTATCAATTTTACTTTCAGTTTGTGCTGGTGGGAATGGAGTGTAAGGCTTCTTATCTTTTTTGATTTTAGGTTGTTTTCTTTTGCTAATATTTTTGTTAACAAACTTCGGTAGAAAGCGCTCCCAATTTTCATTTCTAAGTTTAGGATCTTTACTTAATTCTCTTTTGATCATTAAAGCTTTTATATTATAAATTGGATGAATATTATTCATGGTATCTTCAACGATTTTTCGAACTTGTTGTAGCCCTTTATATGGGCCTAAAGCAGAAACAGTTTGTCCTTGTACCAAAACATAACAATCTGTTAATAATTCAATTGATTTTAAGGTACATCCATTAGGACCAATTAATCTTTGTCGTCGTTTAACAAACTTTTCTCGATTTCTGGTGATTTTCCCAATTTTAATTATATCACAACTAACATCGTCTTCTAAAACTCTTTTAGCTTGTTCATAAGGAACACTTCTTGATAACAACTTAATCATATCTCTAGCTTTTATGATCATATAAGGATCCCATGTTTTTCTAGTTGTCTTAACAGTCATGCTACCTTCTATTAAATCTAATTCAGCTTTAATATTATGTTCATTTAGCGTTTTTTGAACTAAAGGCCAAACCTCTTTTAAGTATTGCTCTCGATATTGTGGAAAAACCGTCGCAAACGAACTCTCTTCGAGTAATCCATGAGGGTTATCTTCAGCTTTGAATGGTGGTATTTTTAAGGACCACGCGTTTTCTACCGGTCCAGATTGTTTTTGATCATCTTCATCATCGGATTTATTCATTTTAATTACTAAATTAAAGCGATTAAATAATTAAAGTGATAAATTATTTTTTTAATAACACGTGTTAATGTTGAAACCAAAACAGTAATTTGACGCAAGTTAAATGACATGCGATGCTGCCAACCCATTAAAAATAATTAAACTAGATAGCGGGAGATTTAAATTTGTTTTTTATTGACTAGGAAATTGTACACCAAATTAAAAGGTAAACATAAAATTAAATGCGTTCTCCGTAGTCGTCTTTTATGTGACAAAATAGGCAACAACCGAAAATTATTCCGAATATTTGTAAAATGCTGATACCTAGTCCAACAGCGCTCATATTTGAGAGATGTAATATAATTAGCTCTTCTATTTTAAAAAAGCATGGCTAAAAAAGAATTTATAAGTTAATTTAGATAAATGATTATTTTATTTACATCATAATAAATGTTTGATGGGTGATCCCTTATTCCACAATGTTCTGTCAAAGTTTTGCAACATGAATCAGGAACTTTGTTGATTACTGATGAATTTTCTGTTTTCCATTTGCTTCGTTGCCAGTCTTCAAAATCCATAGCTCCACAACATTTAAACTAATTTTTTTAAACATAAACATGAATTAAAAATAATGAAAATATACTGTTTTCCCACCTCTTTTTGTATAAAATCAATCGATTGAGTTTTGGCTTCATCATACTGATAAGTGGTTAAAAATGTTTCGTTTAAATTCTTATCCAACTCTGATTTAACAGCATCCAAATAAATAAAACCTAATATACCAACCATAGCTTCAATCAAAAAAATTAAAGCAAGTAAAAAAATGTACTAAAAATAATCCACAATTAGATTTTTTATCAAAATAGATAATAGATTTGTTTTTACAGTTAATAACATTGGTTTGTTACTTTTATTTATAGCCAGACATCCTAGAAAACTCGCGAATATTACAAGACATCCCGCTAGAAGTAACGTGTAGGTAATTAATTGATAATTTATTGTACTTAAAACTGTTACAAAATTAAATTTATCAATTAGGGTCCATACAGAAATTGCTATTATTCCAATCCCAGTTATCTAAAAACAAAATAAAAATTTATTATCAATGTTAGCAGAAAAAGTAAGTACATAATCATATGCTACGTAAAGAAAACGAAGGTTATTTATAATAGTTCTGAACCTTTCTGCGCATACTTATTGCATATTATACGTATTGAACGCCTTGAACCAAAACAGGTCTAATGAGATGGTTTGCCATTTAGATCCTGGTCCTACACAACGTCACAAATCATCTTTCTGTTGAGATGATTATCGCTGTTATTTGTAGATATAATTTCGTTAGATAACGAACAAAAACTTCTGTTCGCAACAAAGAGGATCTCCTCCCATCACACCGAATAAAAGCTGTTCTTGATACCATTAGAGGTGAAAGAGAAAATTCCTCTGTCGGTTCTGACTAAGTTCGGATAATTCGGGAATCCCATAGACGTGAATTAACGTGTTTAGGCTTGTGCAAAAACAAAGTTGTTACAAAACCGAAAAGTAATATGTGGAACTATTTTAATATGAAGATAATTAATGGAAAAACAATGTACATTTGTAAGTTTTGGCCTGCTGAATATATAAAAAATGCCACAAGAATGACGAAACATGTATTAAGATGTTAAAAATGCGGAGTAGGCGTAATTGCTGAAAAAATCGATGAAATTTTGCGAGATGTTGGTCCTGAAAAATTCTTTGCTATAGTAACCAACAATGCCAGTGCAATGGTTAAAGCAAGAAATATACTTCATGAAAGGTACAAACATATTTCTGTTAATGGATGCAATGCTCATACGCTAAATTTGTTAATTGGAGACATTTCAAAAATGGAAACCATGTCTACTATTATGGAACATTATTGNTAACAACTTAATCATATCTCTAGCTTTTATGATCATATAAGGATCCCATGTTTTTCTAGTTGTCTTAACAGTCATGCTACCTTCTATTAAATCTAATTCAGCTTTAATATTATGTTCATTTAGCGTTTTTTGAACTAAAGGCCAAACCTCTTTTAACCTTTCAGTACACGCGCGCGGACCGTCACTCCGCAAAATTCAAACGGTTTAATTTGCCCGTGGCGCCATCTGTTGTTGAGTTGACAAGTCTCTTTTCCACGTCATCCGTAGACCGCGTGTGCATTTCACTGTTTACTGTTTGACAGAGAGTACGAAGTAAATAGTTGTTGTTAATAGTAAATAGTTGTTCTTGTTTTATATTATTATTAAGTAGATTTTAGTTAGTGTTAGTTAGTAATAGTGTTTTGTGTTTAGTAAAGACTTAATAGTAGTGTAAGTAAATAGGTTATTGTGGAGTATTGTTTGGTTAAAACAGGTAAATAAAAGTACGATTTCATTAAATTGTTGTCTTGAATGCGACGTTTAGTTTTCAGAATGTGTTCCAATAAAGACGATGAGGTGCAACTGGAAACGTTTTTAAACAGTTTCACATTGGATGATGCAGCAATCGACCCACAGTACGAGGACGATGAAGACGATGATGAAGCAGATCATTTGGAAGAGAGAACGGAGTGCACAGACACTGAAGAAGAGATCTCAGATACTGAGGAGGATTTCGGTACATCACCGACTTCAGACGCCTTTTATGTATGTAAAGACGGAGTGACAAAATGGAACAAAAAATTAGCACCGAAACATGAAAGAGTGCCTGAAAATTTATTGAAGCATTTACCTAGTCCTAGAACCGCCACTAAAAATCTCATATCTGAAATAGATATTTGGAGCTATTTTTTCAATGAAGGTATGTTGAAGGTTATAGTTGATTGCACAAATCAACACATAAGTGGCACCAAATCACACTTTAGTCGAGAAAGGGATGCTGAAGATACAAATATTCATGAAATTAAGGCGTTGTTGGGCTTAATATATATGGCTGGAGTTTTGAAAGCAAATCGATTGAATGCCAGAGAATTATTCAGCACTCAGGGATGTGGAATAGAAATATTTCGCCTGACAATGTCGATAAATAGATTTTTATTTCTTATGCGTAATGTCCGTTTCGACAACAAGGAAACTCGTGAGCAACGAAAAGAAATCGATAAATTAGCGCCAATTCGCCAGATTTTTGATAATTTTGTCGTAAACTGTCAAAGTGCTTACAGCCCGTTTCATTGTGTCACCATCGATGAAAAGTTGGAAGGTTTTCGAGGACGCTGTTCGTTCAAGCAATACATACCTAGCAAGCCGAATAAATATGGCATAAAAATTTTCGCGCTAGTAGACGCCAAATGCTATTTTACTACCAATTTAGAAGTCTATGTTGGCAAGCAACCAGATGGGCCATATGCTGTGGACAACTCTGCCAGCGCTGTTGTACAGAGATTGTGCGAACCAATAAACGAATCAGGTAGAAATGTTACTACCGATAACTGGTTTACCAGTATACAGTTACTGGAAGCTTTAAAGGAAAAAAAACTCACATTATTGGGTACAATACGAAAAAATAGAAAAGGGTTACCAAAAGAATTCACACAACCACCAAAATCCAGAGCTGTAATGTCCACCCTGTTCGGATTTCGCGACAACGCTACTTTAGTATCGTATAAACCGAAAAAAAATAAAAATGTTTTATTAATTTCAAGTGGACATCATGACGACGGCATTGACGAAAATACTCAGAAGCCAAATATGATCCTTGATTACAACAACACAAAGGGCGGTGTTGATACTGTGGATAAGTTGTGTGCAAGTTATAATTGTGCAAGGATTACACGAAGATGGCCGATGGTGGTTTTTTATGCACTATTAAATATTGCTGGGATTAATAGTATTGTTATCCATAAATTTAATAATCCGACAGTGACACAACCGAGAAGAACATTTCTAAGAAATTTGTCAATGGCATTAATTGATGGTCATCTTCGGCAGCGAGCTCAGCTTCATTGTCTTCCCAGGCAAATGTCATCCAGGATTAGAGAAATTACGGGATATGAAGAGCCACTACAAGGAGCTGCAGCAACACCGAGCGATGAAAATATTCCAAAGCGAGGTCGCTGTGCATATTGCGACAGGAGAAAAAACCGGCCGACAAAATATTCCTGTACAACTTGTCAAAAATTTATGTGTTTAGAACATTGTACAATCGTTTGTGAAGAATGTTTTAATAAAGACGAAATTTTCTAAATATATTTTGATAATTTTTTTAAATGTATAAATTTATTCAATTAATTTCATACTCATATAAAAACCAAAAAAAAAAATTAAATTTTATAATTTTTCTAGCGCCATCTTTCGCCTGGTGGCAAAAATATATTTTAATGCGGACTCTCAGTCCGGCGCGTGTAATCTTGTGTGTATTAAAAACCGCGTGTACTGGAAGGTTAAGTATTGCTCTCGATATTGGGGAAAAACCGTCGCAAACGAACTCTCTTCGAGTAATCCATGAGGGTTATCTTCAGCTTTGAATGGTGGTATTTTTAACGACCACGCGTTTTCTACCGGTCCAGATTGTTTTTGATCATCTTCATCATCGGATTTATTCATTTTAATTACTAAATTAAAGTGATAAATTATGTTAATAACACGTGTTAATGTTGAAACCAAAACAGTAATTTGACGCAAGTTAAATGACATGCGATGCTGCCAACCCATTAAAAATAATTAAACTAGGTAGCGGGAGATTTAAATTTGTTTTTTATTGACTAGGAAATTGTACACCAAATTAAAAGGTAAACATAAAATTAAATGCGTTCTCCGTAGTCGTCTTTTATGTGACAAAATAGGCAACAACCGAAAATTATTCCGAATATTTGTAAAATGCTGATACCTAGTCCAACAGCGCTCATATTTGAGAGATGTAATATAATTAGCTCTTCTATTTTAAAAAAGCATGGCTAAAAAAGAATTTATAAGTTAATTTAGATAAATGATTATTTTATTTACATCATAATAAATGTTTGATGGGTGATCCCTTATTCCACAATGTTCTGTCAAAGTTTTGCAACATGAATCAGGAACTTTGTTGATTACTGATGAATTTTCTGTTTTCCATTTGCTTCGTTGCCAGTCTTCAAAATCCATAGCTCCACAACATTTAAACTAATTTTTTTAAACATAAACATGAATTAAAAATAATGAAAATATACTGTTTTCCCACCTCTTTTTGTATAAAATCAATCGATTGAGTTTTGGCTTCATCATACTGATAAGTGGTTAAAAATGTTTCATTTAAATTCTTATCCAACTCTGATTTAACAGAATCCAAATAAATAAAACCTAATATACCAACCATAGCTTCAATCAAAAAAATTAAAGCAAGTAAAAAAATGTACTAAAAATAATCCACAATTAGATTTTTTATCAAAATAGATAATAGATTTGTTTTTACAGTTAATAACATTGGTTTGTTACTTTTATTTATAGCCAGACATCCTAGAAAACTCGCGAATATTACAAGACATCCCGCTAGAAGTAACGTGTAGGTAATTAATTGATAATTTATTGTACTTAAAACTGTTACAAAATTAAATTTATCAATTAAGGTCCATACAGAAATTGCTATTATTCCAATCCCAGTTATCTAAAAACAAAATAAAAATTTATTATCAATGTTAGCAGAAAAAGTGAGTACATAATCATATGCTACGTAAAGAAAACGAAGGTTATTTATAATAGTTCTGAACCTTTCTGCGCATACTTATTGCATATTATACGTATTGAACGCCTTGAACCAAAACAGGTCTAATGAGATGGTTTGCCATTTAGATCCTGGTCCTACACAACGTCACAAATCATCTTTCTGTTGAGATGATTATCGCTGTTATTTGTAGATATAATTTCGTTAGATAACGAACAAAAACTTCTGTTCGCAACAAAGAGGATCTCCTCTCATCACACCGAATAAAAGGTGTTCTTGATACCATTAGAGGTGAAAGAGAAAATTCCTCTGTCGGTTCTGACTAAGCTCGGATAATTCGGGAATCCCATAGACGTGAATTAACGTGTTTAGGCTTGTGCAAAGACAAAGTTGTTACAAGACCGAAGAGTAATGTGTGGAACTATTTTAATATGAAGATAGTTAATGGAAAAATAATGTACATTTGTAAGTTTTGTCCTGCTGAATATATCAAAAATGCCACAAGAATGACGAAACATGTATTAAGATGTTAAAAATGCGGAGTAGGCGTAATTGCTGAAAAAATCGATGAAATTTTGCGAGATGTTGGTCCTGAAAAATTCTTTGCTATAGTAACCAACAATGCCAGTGCAATGGTTAAAGCAAGAAATATACTTCATGAAAGGTACAAACATATTTCTGTTAATGGATGCAATGCTCATACGCTAAATTTGTTAATTGGAGACATTTCAAAAATGGAAACCATGTCTACTATTATGGAACATTATTCAAAAAAATGCTAACTGAAGGAAATGACATCAAAGCAGCCATTTCCTTAAAATTACCTGTGAAAACACGATTGATGAACAATTATTCATAGTTTAAAAAGTCTTCTTGTTACAAAATATGGATAAAAACGTTAGTAGTTTGAGAAACTGTTGAAGATATACCCAGTAAACGAGTTGCAAAGTTAATATTGGATGAGGATATCTTTTTGGTAAAAGTTTCCAAATTTTACCAACTAATAAACCCTATTGTTAAATACATAACCCAAATGGAAGAAAATAAACCAAGGTTAAGCCAAATAGCTGAATGCTTTTATCAGTTGGAAAGTCATTTTGAAACAGCCCTTTGGCCTAACCTAGAGGAAAGGGAAGTAAAAAACTTTTTAGTTAAGAGAAAGCAAATGGCAATAAATTCAATCCATCTTGCTGCAAATATTCTAGATACAAAATCTTAATGGAATTCATCTTAATAGAGAAAAACAAATACAAGGAATCGAGTTTATAAAAAATATAGCTACTGTAACAAGCTCAGATTAGTCTGCAAAGGTAATGGCAGAATTGGTCCTTTATCGATCTAAAAAAAGGTTATTTGGAAAACCATATGTTTTAAAACTACATCCTGTTGTATGGTGAAAGGGGGCTTGTTTTGGATCGACATTAAAAAAAGTAGCGGTCAAGATACTAAGTATACCTGAGAACAGAAAGAAATATACAAAAAAACAACAACAAAAATAAATTGGCTTACGGCTGATCGAGCTAGTAAAATAACTTTCATTGCTGATCCACAAGTTCTGCCACCAATGTGGAGGTTAATGAAAGCAATGAAGACCTCTCTGATATTGAACTGATCGAATGCAGTGATTTGGAAACATTGCCAGAGCTGTCTGAAAAGTCATTAGATTCGAACTAATAATTGTTTAATTTTTCTTACAATAATACTTGTTTTTTTTGTTGTTGTTTCAAAGAACAAATTATTTTTTACGCTAAATATATTTTAAACATCATAAATAAGTCCTCCATAGTAATTAATCCCATAAATATGAACCTTCCCACATTATATTCGTCAGACTGAATTTGCCGAGCAGTTTTTTATTTAAAAGCTTGATCTCAGCAAATTCTCAAGATAGAGAATATTCTATTTTTTTTCTCGAGAATTTTCCATCTCTAGATACCAAACGTTAGCAGGGGAATCGTAGGCATAGAACGGAAGTTTCCATGTTGTGCCTCTTGGAAGGGATTCAGGATTTGCCGACACACTCCAGGATGCACAACGTAACATCAGTAAATGCATTGTTGTGCATAGAGTATTGACAATAATGGACTGCGAAAAGCTTATTATTCTGGTGGGAGAAAGAAAATCAATGTGCGACGAAAAAGGTAAACAATTTCATAAAATCTGTCTGAAAATTATATATTAATTAAGACTCAAAACAGTTCATCAACCAATAAATGAGGAAGCAATAAATTAGTCAATAGAAGTAATTCTCAAAATAGCGAGAAAATAAAATACACAGCGCAATTTAAACTTTACTACGCAAGATTACTATTTTGCTCTAATTGTAAGCTTCAGAGATACAAGGAGAAGTTTAGAACGTGGGAATCGTCATACAGTGTTAACAAGAAAAAACATTACAATGAATATAACATAGATACAAACTTGTGAATCATTTTGGTGTGCCTGAACCAAACAAAGAGTGTACCACGTGAATACAAAATTAAAATTTTTTGATCAAGTTTAGAACGTGGTATTCGTGATACTGTACGAACAAGCCGAGACCAAGATATTACAATAAATACCACATTGATACAATGTTGGGAATCATTTTGGTGTGCCTCCACTTGCGACTGAGACGTTACAATTCATACCACGTTGTTACAAAATTGGAAATCATCTTGTTTAGACTCAGTCAAACTTAGGATGGGTGATTTATGACAGCAATTCATTAAGAGTAGTTCGCTTGCGGTCTCTTCACCAATAGAAAACCCAAACCAACTGTATTTGCAATCATCTATGGATAGTGAGATGTCTTCAGATATTACAACAATCAATATAACCCACTCTATCCGTACGAATTTTTATCCAATGCTTAAGCAGCGATTGCCTAAGTTAATATGTTAAAGAGATCGCCGCCTTTCTTTTTGTTGAGAAACAATAATTGGTATTGTTTGCCTTTGCCTGAAAAGCTATCAATGTCGACTTGCTAACTATTATTAACATCGTTTAAAGTAAAAGTATCTTTTTAGGAACAGATGTCAAGTCTGGTTAATCTTTCATACTTTACAAGGCCCCCTTTCATTCTTTTCCTGTAACTGAGCCTATAGTTTTGTTACTATCTACAATTCTTTTTAGTATATGGAGTTAGATAATCGCGGCTATGTGTGAATGTTCTTCGGATGATGCGTTCAAAGTCTGCTTATCCATTGCATTCGTAGGCCCAGTTAGTTTTAGAGCGTGAATGGAAATATCTCAATCTCATAAATCCCCTTCCGCCAGTCTCATCCCTGGAAGTCAATAAATCTAGTAATGAGATAGTTTTTTCCTCTGACAGATTCGGTACCATCCTAGCAGCTGTTTTCGTATTACCAATACTCTCCTATAAGAAGATTAATATGAATGCTGCTCTCTGCACCTAGCTCAAGAAATTCGACCATCTCTGTGGGTCCATTAATATGATAACTATCATGTTCTTCCCATACAAAAATTTAAAATCAATTCTGATAAGCCACACTTGCCCAACATCTTATTTGACATAATACACGCGATGCGACCAAAAAGATATTGTGAATTCCTACATATCAAAAGTCAAAGGTGTTTTTTTTTGCAAAAAAAAAAATCGGATGCCTTTGCTGATCTGCGACCAAACAATATCTTACTGGTGTTGGAGAAGATTATGTGTGAGCAATTAAGGGAATTTGTTTATAGAAGAGATTGTTACCTGTGGTGCAATCTGGCTTCAGGTCGGGTGTTAGCTGCATTGTTGAAAATTGTGGATAATATTCTGAGGAATATTCTGAGAACGGAAAGGTAACTGTACTGTACTTGTTTGTCACAAATGAGTCACAAAATGTTGTATTCAATATTAAATCATATAGGGTTGAGTAAACAAGCAATAAGTCTCCTGTTCTTGTATTGGCAAGAGTCGGATGCCTGCAAATCTACACAAGTCATTTTAAAAATATAATGAGGTACTGCATAGCCCATTTGTATGCAGATTTATTATGCTATCTCAGAGTCTGAGGTGGACACTTCATGTGTCAGAATTAACAATGATTTGAAACGGCTGGTGCAGCTTTAGAATGGACATGGCTTATGCTGCAACACCATAATTCAGTTTATATGTATAAATTTACTAGATATTTAGCAATTTACATATAAACTATAACATTATATCTACAATATGTATGTGGAATAATAATATAAATTATTATTAATACTCACCAAAAATATAAAATTAAATACTCTCAGGAGTGATTTTAAAAACGGATAAGTACAACATCCTTCTTTGTTTTCTGTTGCCATATTTTTAGTATTTTACCTACAAAAGTAAAATAGTTGTATTAAAACGTACACAAATTAGTAATAACAAAAAGGGTTAAACACAAAAATAAATCAAAAAGTTCTCCATAAATACTGTATTTTGTAAAAATATACATATAAATATACACAATTCTAATTATTTTCTCCTAATTTAGTGCATCTAGACATATAGACACTCAATTAATATAATAATAAACCATAATAATAACAATTTGTATAAAGAAAAAAAAATAGTAATAAAGATAACAAAAATAAGACAATTTCGCGTAAAATTACTGGCAAATTAATTTATACAAAATGCAACATTTATACCTTAATTCCACTTAATCTCATTTTTTTTTTGGCTTGTTATATATCATTAGATTAATTAATTTTCTTGTAATTTTCTCAAAGAAGTTTCCAATCGATTAACGATTTTTTTATAAAATTCAATTTGTTCCTTTAAAAACCCTTCCATCGCTTCTTGAAAATCTCGATCTTTTTGTTGTTTAAAGTGATTCAATTCGGCAAAAATTGAATACGTTAAAATATCGCTTCTTCGACGTATATCAATCAATTCGGAAGCTACCATGTTTTTTTCACAATCTTTCTTTTTTTGTTGAGCCCCTTTATGTAAAGCCATTATTTCAGGAAAAGCGCTAGTTATCCCTTTATATAAATACAATTTATTATATAATGGTTCCCAATCTAATTTTGCTTGTTCATCGTAATAATTTGCTATATCATTGTAAGCATCACCAATATTTAAAATCGTAATAGAAAGATGTGAAGTGGTCGTTTTATCCTCAGAGCTAAGTGTAAACCCTAATTTTTTAAAACTTTCACCAATGCGCACAAATTCTTTTTTATATAAACTTTGATTCTTTTTTGCTTGATCCGAAGTGGTACCCATCAACGTTTTAATAGCAACATCTAAATTTTGTATAAACGTTAGTGATGCGTCCATTTTCGGCTCGACAATCGATGGCATTAACTCTTTATCCGGTGCGTTAATCATTAAACAAAAATTTGCACCAAGTAAATTATCCCTTTCAGCTTGTCTTTTACCTTGTTTCCAATGCTTTTCGTCGGTTGTAGTTAAAAAATGTTGCCAAACATCGCTACTCGATAAAATAGGATGTTTACACACGTAATTAATAAATTCTTGAAGTTGTAATCTTCGATGTTCAATAAACTGTCCTTCATAAAGACCTGAAATTTGTTTTAATGGCAAAGGTGGCACTGCTATTATACTATATTTTTCAGCCAATCTTCCATGTAACCAATCAAAATGTTTATAACGTCTTGATACTTTTATATTATTAAAAGACGGTGTTAATTGATAAGCTGTGTATGATTTTAAACCTTTTAATTTCGTTTCTTTTTTAGGAGATGCAATATTTACGTAGTAAGGATGCTTTAATGGGGGCCAATCGTATGTAGTCTCATCAACACGGGTTATTTGAATTTTTTGAGGAGTTGGTATTGTAGTTTTTATTTCTCCTTAAATAATAGAAAAAGTATTAATAGAAACGTTTAATTTAATAATGAATAAAATAAAGGAAAAAATCAAGAATCATCATGTGGCTTAAAAATCGACAATTTTTTTTTAATCAATGTGAAATGATCCACAAAAACACGTTAAAAATAAAAAGAAAATGCGGAAAAGTGTAGAATATACCGAAATATCACATTAAAGGTTCGATGTAACGTCAACATTTAAAACTAGAACTAGAAACATTCAGGTTTAGCCGCACGTCTTTCAAGACGGCTGAACCCGAATGATTCTAGTTCTAGGTCTTGTGTGAATTCTAGTGCAAAACTAAAACTAACACTGGACCGAAAACTAGAAACATTCGGATTTAGCCCCACATCTCTTAAGAAGGCTAAACCCGAATGATTCTAGTTCTAGGCCTTGTGTTAGTTCTAGTGATAGTGCTAGTTTAAAACTAGAACTAACACTAGACCTAGAACTAGAAACATTCGGATTTAGCCGCAAGTCTCTCAAGACGGCTAAACCCGAATGATTCTAGTTCTAGGTCTTTTGTTAGTTCTGGTGATAGTGCTAGTGTAAAACTAGAACTAACACTAGATCTAGAACTAGAAAGTATCTGTCTGAAGACGCACGGCTGAACCCGAATATTTTTCAAGTTCTAAGTCTAGTGTTAGTTCTAGTTTTAGTGCAATAAAAATATGCAACGTAGTGATATCTTATGCTAACTAACGCTGCCTACCACTGTCACTAGAACAAACATTATACCTAGAACTAGAAACATTCAGGTTTAGCCGTCTTAAGAGACGCACGGTTAAGCCCGAATGTTTCTGGTTCTAGGTCTAGTGTTAGATCTACTTTTCTTTCAATAAAAATATACCACAATCTAACGTTAAATAACATTTAAAACTAGAACTAACACTAGACCTAGAACTAGAAACATTCGGGTTTAGCCGCAAGTCTCTCAAGACGGCTAAACCCGAATGATTCTAGTTCTAGGTCTTTTGTTAGTTCTGGTGATAGTGCTAGTGTAAAACTAGAACTAATACTAGACCTAGAACTAGAAAGTATCTGTCTGAAGACACACGGCTGAACCCGAATATTTTTCAAGTTCTAGGTCTAGTGTTAGTTCTAGTTTTAGTGCAATAAAAATATGCAACGTAGTGATATCTTATGCTAACTAACGCTGCCTACCACTGTCACTAATTGGTTTAGCCGTCTTAAGAGACGCACGGCTAAACCCGAATGTTTCTGGTTCTAGGTCTAGTGTTAGATCTACTTTCCTTTCAATAAAAATATACCACAATCTAACGTTAAACAACATTTAAAACTAGAACTAGAAATAAAAATTTACCACAATCTAACCTTAAACAACATTTAAAACTAGAACTAGACCACACTATTTTTTTATAGACAATAAGTAAGTTTCAACCAAATGTTAAGTTATATTTTTATTTAATTTTAAGTTGGTAGTTCTGAATTAAAAATTAAATTACAAGCTGTCAATGTTAAATAATTTTTTTAAATGATTTTGCCTATGAATAATTAATATGTTTGATTTTGGTGTCGATTTCAAGTAAGATTTGCAAATATACTAATCATTCAACCGTTTGAATAATAATTAAAAAGTATTTAGGTTGAAATAAATTTTGAGGTTAGGTCGGATTTCTAATAAATTGACACATTAAGTTTAGATTGAAGGTTAACCAACTTTATAACAAAATATTTTTAATTAATTTTAGAGAATTTTTAATTGATTTAAATGTTTAATGTTAGATTTTGGTGTTGATTTCAAGTAAAATTTGCAAATATTAATGATTCAACCGTTTGAATAATAATTAAAAAGTATTTAGGTTGAAATAAATTTTGAGGTTAGGTCGGATTTCTAATAAATTGACAGATTAAGTTAAGATTGAAGGTTAACCAACTTTATAACAAAATATTTTTAATTAATTTTAGAGAATTTTTAATTGATTTAAATGTTTAATGTTAGATTTTAGTGTTAATTTCAGGTAAGATTTGCAAATATTAATCATTCAACCATTTGAATAATAATTAAAAAGTATTTAGGATAAAATAAATTTTGAGGTTAGGATCGATTTCTAATAAATTGACAGATTAAGTTTAGATTGAGGGATAACCAACTTTATAACAAAATATTTTTAATTAATTTGAGAGAATTTTTAATTGATTTAAATGTTTAATGTTAGATTTTGGTGTTAATTTTAAGTAAGATTTGCAAATATTAATCATTCAACCGTTTGAATAATAATTAAAAAGTATTTAGGATAAAATAAATTTTGAGGTTAGGTCAGATTTCTAATAAATTGACAGATTGAGTTTAGATTGAAGGATAACCAACTTTAAAAAAAATATTTTTAGTTAATTTGAGAGAATTAACCTAACTTTTTCGAGATTTTTGCAATTTAACTTACCTAAAATGTACGATTCCCCCCCATTTTTAACAAACGATGAAAACCGATTCAAACTTTTCTTCGTAACAGTTCCTTTAGAATCAAAATTGGCTTCTGAAATATTATCATCATTATGTTGTCTCCTATCTTCGATGTTCGAATAAATGTTTTCATTTCCGTGTTGTGATGGTGTATCGTTATCCCAATCGGAATCTGAATCCACAGTGCTATAACGTTGATTTTGGTTAGGTTCGAATTCTGTTTCTACAGGTGGTGGTGGTAAAGCACAAGCTGGGGGAGGCGGAATATTATCGATCTTTTCAACGTAGCTTTCAGGAAATAACCCCGATTTTCCAATATTGTTTAAACCTTCCCACCATCCTTCTCCGACATCTAATCTTGTGACTGTAAGTATTTCACCAGCGATTATGGATAATTCGGAAGTATTGGGTTCTCCGGAAAAATCATATAGTACTCTAACTTGGAAAGACATCTTATCGTTTTTTTCGCATTTAATTACGTGGGTGTATTCTAAAAAACCATAAACGTCAATATATCATAACCTCAAAGATATCCTATAAAGAGAACTTACTGTGTTATCGGTATGGTTTTCTTGTACAATTACACTTTAATTTAACACTTAACTCTTATATTATGGTAAAATTGGAAACTCTTTAGCGCTTTAAGGATTATTTTAATTAATAATTAGTTAAAATGTTGAAAACAAATAAAAACGATTCGTTCTTTATAGTTGATGATTCATCGGTTGGTGGCGCCGTTATCGCTATATGTCACTTCACTGTCATTTTTTCATTTGATTTGAAGTTTAAAAATACTAAATATATAACAAGAAGGTTGTTTATTAATGTTTATAAACTTATGTTGGTCGTTGTTTAATCGATTTAATCGTTTAAATCGATAAGGTTCTAAGAAAAATCAAAATTTAGAAATCGAAAAAAATGTTTGTAATCATGACGTAATTCGCTCCACATCTGTGTGGGCGAATATATTTTTTTAATTTAAACGCCAAGGATTTATACTTAGAAATATCTATGACAAATATAGTATTTAGATAATCTCTTTTATTTAATATTTAAACATTCTAATCGCCTGACGTTTTCCTCAAGGCGAAAAGTAAATAGTCTATGGCCTTGAAATTAGATTAAAACGTTTCATATTTTTTGGCAATCGTCTTAAAAAGCAAGCAATTTCATTTGAAACGTTTTTACACGAACGGTACTATGATAACATGATAAGATTATTTCGTTATCGTTGATAAAAAAACAAAATCGGCGCGTTTTTTGTTTTTACTCGTCATTTGTTTAGTTTTTGGCCGTCATTTGTTTTTGTTTTTTATTTCGAAACGGTGGCAGTGTTTAAAATTATAATTACTCCTAATTTTAAATAAAAACTCACCTACGTATAAACTCGATGTTAGCCTTGGGTTTATTTCATCGTTAGTCGCTTAGTACTCGGTTATAAAAGGGAAAATGTCACAGAAATCGATCACTAAAAGACCGAGAACGGTTTGTTCCCCGGCAAGTTCTAAAGTTGAAGTAGGCGTTTGCGGACAACGTCTATAAGATTGAAAATGGCGCTTTTCAGGATCAAGTTCCGCGTCTGTGCGAAGAGTTTTATTTGATATTTAACGCGTCCACATGCCAACTATATTTAGATTACGTAATTGTGTACGTTCGCTTGCAAAAAAATAAGCCTACCGCATCAGTTTATTTAGTCAAATAGAAACAATAACAAGAAAAAAACTTACAAAATATTATTTTTTATTTAAATAACATTCAATAAATTTAATATACAATAGAATATAATTATTAAATAATAATAACTCGTTGTCATTTTCGTTTTTCGATCTTTTTATTATAGTCTTTCATCACGCTGCAGCTGAAAAATATTCTTTTTGTTATCAAAAATAACTCATTTCAAAGTCTTTTTGTTTTTACCTTCCACTGGTGGAGCTTCTGTAGGTGCACTTTCTGCTGGGGGCGCTTCTACCGGCGCTTCTGCGGGTGCTTCTGCGGGAGCTGCTTCAGCAGGAGCAGCTTCAGCGGCCGGGGCTTCTTCAGCAGATGGTGCTGCTTCTGCAGGTGCTGCTGCTTCTGCAGGTGGTGCTTCTGTCGCTCCTTCAGCGGGAGCTATTTTTAATATTAATAATTCTTAGAATTTTTTTTTTCAATTTTGAGTTACATACCTCCTTCTGCAGGTGCAGCAGGGGCAGTTTCACCTTCAGCTGGTGCAGGAGCACCTAAAACAAGATTATTGTTAACGAATAAAGTTAATCTCCACCCTGGATAGCCTGATGAAACGCCTAAAACTAGCTGGTTTTAAAACCGTTGACTACGCGATGACCTGGCAATCCTTATTCGACGGAAGTACGTCAATGTACTCCTTGAGAGGATGCAGGAAGCACTCAATATAACTGAGAACTGGTGTAATCCCACTCCGTCAATCCGAAGAAGACAACCCCAAACTGCCAATGCTCGCTAACACTCCACTTAAACTATCTACAGAGGTTAAGTACTTGGGCTTAATTTTAGACAGCAAGTTAACGTGGATATCCCACCTAGATAATAGAGTAAAAAAGCATGCGTCTCCTACGGCCAGTGCCGCAGGGCTGTCGAGAGGACATGGGGGCTGTCCCCCAAGATAGTCCTATGGATTTACACGGTTGTAATCCGACCAATGCTAACTTACGGTACGGTTGTATGGTGTAACAGAACTTCTTAGTGCACCGCCACCACCGCGCTAAATAGAATACTACTCCCACCGCGGCCATGGAAGTCATGCTTAACCTGCCACCACTAGACCTACATATTCAGGAGATGACGCTGGTAACCATGAAAAGACTACAATCGGTAGGAATCATGAAGGATGGGGGCGTTGGGGCCTTTGCTGGATTCACCCCCACTCGAGTGCAAAACGGACTGCTTGTCAGCGAAATACGTTTTCTCAAGAAATTACCTCACCTTCATCAGTCCCACAGTAGTAGATGCGAATAAGACCTTAAAAATCTGCACTGATGGCTCAAAACGACGGACTGGGGCGGGAGCGGGGGTCTTTTCCTATCATCCTCGAATACGCCTTTCGGAACCTCTAGGTAAAGGTACCTCCGCCATACAAGCGGAACTGATCGCTATCAAAATGCTGCTGACTATATTGTTGACTCCAACGAACGCGGTAAGTGTTATATTATTTATACAGACAGTAGGCGATCTGTTTTAGCGTTAAGCAGCGTTAAGATAACGTCTGCACTAATAATGGACTGCCATCTAGCACTGGAAGAAACCACGAAATACAATCATGTCACTATCCAATGGATCAAGGGGCACTCCGGCTCTACGGGTAACAAACGTGCGGATAGACTGGCAAAGCGTGCTGCCAGCAGAATTCTCTGTGCACCCGAGCCGATAATTATCCCTTCTTTACCTACTCATATCAACATGATCAAGCACATTACCCACAAAAAATTCCTAAACGCGTGGGACTAAATCCCTGGTTTCTACCTTGCTAAGAATTTGTTAAAATATCCTTCGAAAATTACAGCTCAGTTTTTCGTAGGGCTTTGAAAAAACGCCCTCCGGTTAGCCAGAGGTCTCCTCACAATTTGAAGCTTGTAAACTCTCCTCTCTGTCGAGCCTGTGAACAGGACGACGAGACCGCTAGACACATCTTGTGTTATTGCCCCCTCTCTAGCAGACCTTAGAATGAGAACCCTCGGGGAGGCATGGCCGACCACAGATGATATTAGGAACTTACCTCTGAGTGATATCCTGGCCTTCTGGATATTGTACAAAAAAAAGTTAGATAACGGAGAAAGTATGAAGCATAGAAAGATTTTTGTGAACATCTTCTCTAATGTGCTTTGTCGCTATAAGAAGGTTCTAGCTTCCGGACTAACGTGAAAATTCAGTCTAAACCAAATCACAGAGAAGACAGCAGCTACAGGGAGAGCAATACATCTCCTATTTGTGGATCTCACCAAGGCATATGACACAATTTCTCAAAAATACAATGTCAATTCAATAAATGTCACGGTAATCAATGCTGTACAAGAATTATACAAAGGGGTAGCAGCAGCAGTACAGATAAACAGACAACTATCAGAAAGCTTCAACATCACCAAAGTCCTCCGACAAGGATGCACACTGTCACCTCTATTATTCAACATATATGTGTAAATTGCTCTATGAACTTGATGAATAAACAAAACTGTACAGCCTACATTTTGCTGACAACCAGGTGGTAATAGCCCAGGACGAAGAAGACCTTGAATATAAGGCTAGAAAATTAATCAAAGTATACGACCGGTGGGGCTTGGTTATGAATGTAAGAAAGCAAAAACACAGTATCTTTGGATGGTGGGCGGAGAAGCAAAAGATCTGGTGCTAAATGATAACACCTTAATTAAAGGATGCGAAGAGTACACTTACCTTGGAACTAAGATGGACCACAGTGGAAGATGTGAAACAGAAATACGAAACCGATTACAACTGGGCAAATAACAAAAGGTATGGTCAAAAAATATCTCAAATAAAAGAAAACAACAACTTTACTATATTTCACTATCTTCATCCCCGTGGTGCTGTACGGATGCGAAACCTGGCAATTAAATAACGTTACAAGCAAGGGCGAAAAAGATAGTGTCGATATGACCAATTTCAAATTCTTGGGCATTGTGGACGATTTGGAAATTTAGACAAATAATCTATAATACTTTTCGATAGCGTTAGGTTGCACTTGATATAGGTGGTAAGAAACAGAGCTTTTTGTCAGTCTCCCAAATACTGCATTTGTGTACCTAAACTTCCTAATACTCCATTCAATTTATTTAGTCATGTCTCTTTAGTCAGCACGTTAAAGTGGAACTCACACTTTGAAAATAGAGTCGATAAAACTTGTGTTGTTGAACGTAGAGCACTTCTGTCTTGTACTGTTCCTTCAAAACATCTAACTGGATCTACACGGCTAAAAGTACATACAGTACTGTGGTATGGTAGCCCAAAACCTTTCATACGTAGAGTTGGTCTTTATTGCACTTTGCCATACTTTTATGAAGTATACTACTTAAAGTGGACAACAAAGCATTACTCGATAGTTTGTATGTTACACGTATGGTTTAAACAACCTCCCATCACTCTATCTACATATACGGCGGAGATAGACTACGTTTGGTGAGATTTATCAACAAGGAAGTCAATGAGACTTACTTAGCCTTCTGTCTTGTATTTGCATATTAACTTCTTTGAAGCACCTGTTAGGTATTACAGCCTTCAAAAAGCATTAGTGGAGCGGTATCAGAATCAGAAACGCACCTCTGAACTGCATCTTGACTTAGGAGATCTTTGGATTTGTTCCATTAAATAAACCGTGGGCTAATATAATGAAAGTATGCAGAAAATTATGAATTTTTACGAATAACGAGTTGTTAGTTGTCTAAAGAAATTTTAAGAAAGTCCTGGGTTGAAGCAGTGCGGAGAAGGCCTTACCAAAAGTGCTTTAAGATTAATCATAAAAATCCTACCTGGACACTGCGAGATGAAACAATAAAATAAGTCTTATGCCACTGGCAAACGTGAAATCTCTAGGTTGGTTGATGTAGTGTAATGTGAGGACGTACTTTCACTTATAATATATACAAAGCAGAATGTAGATACAATAGCAATCATAAAATTATGATTGGAGTACCTAACACTGGAAAGGTGGACAACGATAAATGGCGATTAAAGCGATTAAAGATGATAGATATACAAAGTATGTAGATATGAGCGGGATTTGATGACACATTATTATTAACTCTATTTAATATACTTACAACTAACATATATACTGCGGTGAGAAGGACAGGGGAAGGTATATGATTTTAATTGAATTAAAAAATTATATTTGTAATATATAAACATTAAGTTATAATGCTCAATTTCTAAGAAATGTTACCTTATTTAAACAGTCTATCTATTTATCTATATGGACAATGTCATCTGTGTATTTACTGTTGCATTTAGTTTACTTTTACTGTTTAATAAGGAAATATTTATGTTTATTTTTATGGTTATTTATCAAGGATTTAAGTTACTTTGCGATATAGACTTTTCACTAATATGAACAATGAAGGAGGAAAGTTTTTAATCTCAATTTTGTGTGAGGTTTAATCCTTTAATGAAAATGAATGAAACAAATCCACAAATACTTTTTATTTATTTATTTTTTAAATGACCCATAAGTTCTTTTGTGGGTATTTACACCATAGACGTAAAAAAAAACAATTGTACAAACATTTATTAGATGATAACCACATATAAATTACGATTATGATTCTTCGACGATCAAGTAATCATACATACCTTCGGCAGCTGGAGCACCTTCTGCTGGTGCAGCACCTTTAATTTTATTATAAATTTGTAAATTTTAATCTAATAGTAAGCTCATTTGATGTATTATTACCTTCAGCTGGTGGGGCTCCTTCAGTTGGTGGTGCACCCTCAGCTGGGGGAGCACCCTCAGCGGGAGCAGCTCCTTCTGCTGGAGCTCCTTCAGCTGGTGGTGCTCCTTCTGCGGGTGCCTCTCCTTCAGCTGGAGGTGCGCCTTCGGCTGGAGCTGCACCTTCAGCTGGAGGAGCTCCTTCTGCGGGTGCTTCTCCTTCAGCTGGAGGTGTGCCTTCTGCAGGAGGTGCCCCTTCAGCTGGGGGAGCTGCTTCGCCTTCTGGTTTTGGTTCGCCTTCGGCTGGTGGAGGTGCTTCGCCTTCTGCGGGTGCTGGTGCTGCTTCGCTTTCAGCTGGAGCAGCTGCTGCTTCAGCTGGAGCTATTTTTTTTTTATATTATAATTTGCTATTGAACATATTTTCAAATTTTTTTACCTTCTGCTGCGGGTTCTGGTTCATCCTCCTAAAGGAAGTTTAAGATTTCCAAATTTGATTAATATGATTCGTTTTAAGGTAACAAATAAGGATGGTGACGAGAAGACAAGGTAACAAAAGACAAAAACGCACAAGAATAATTATTTATAACGTACTTAATTTATAAATAAGGTTCCAGACACAAGAAGGGGACGTAAATACATAAGGAGTTCGTGCAAAACTACTTTAACATTCTGTTTTTTTTTAACAATACAATTGTATTACAAAATATACGTCAAATCTTCAACATAAATTTACAGATATTAATAAGTAAGGAGATGGGTGCTTCATGCCTCTGCTTCTTGTACCTTCTTTTCGTCCTTCTTGGTCCAATCTGGTTTTTTCTGTAAATATTTCGAAAAAAATAATTAGCAACTAACAACTAATTTTTAACGCAATCTAATTATTATTAATTGCGTTAAATTGTTGGTTCAAAAACGTTAAATGTGCCCTTAAAAAAGAAAATTCAAAATCTGTGCAGATTGTGTAACAAATCATGTAAAAATGGATTATTTATTATTAGGTGTACACCTCGTGCCTACTAAGTAATACTGGAATGAAATTTGGTGCATTTTAAAAAGTATATAAAGAAAAAGTCTTTATAATATGTACAAATTGCGTGTAGTACCGATTTCAGCGCGGCGCCAGCTTCAGCCTTCTGAAAAAAACAATTAAAACAGAAGCGATTTTAGCTTGGTAGACATAAACAGAACAAAATTAGATATAGAGGCGAGATTTTTATATGCTGAAATCATGCGAATGCAAAGCTTTGTAGCTCACCTTTAACGTTATAATAGAAAAAAAGAAGAGAGCAAAAAATAGACGAAGAAATTGTATTAGACAAAAAATTAGACGACAAAAAATAGTCATAAAGTAAAGAAAAAATTACTCGAAGAGCAACAAAAAAAATTTAGCAAGAATTGATTTAATAATCATGTTTTTTTCTTTTTAGAGTTTATTTACACCTTATAACATATATTAAAATAGCGTTTTTTTTTTTAATTTTCTGCTGAGTTTCAGAGTAAAATAAAAAGTATCTTTGCTTGAATCATCCTCATTTCTTCTGCCAATCAGCTTTCTCGGCTTTCTTTGTCTGTAGAAAAACATTACAAATTGGACAAGGGGAACTAAACTATTAAAAACACTACGTTTCTAAACTTAAATAACACCGGGTTAATTGAAGGTAACCAAATTTAGAAACTTGTTTTTCTTTGCTCGATTAAGTCAGATGATTACGTCCACAAAAATCTTGCCAAGAGATCTTGGCAAAATAACTTACAACAAAGTAACCAATTCTAAATTTGGAATGATTTAAAGTTTAAAAACGTAAATCAACTAATTTACATGAACTAAATCATATTTACATAAGGGAAACACCAAAAATGTCATAAAAAAGTTCTCTGCATAAATTACCTCTTTGTCCTCTTCTTCAAGGGTGAACTCCTTCTTCTTGACGACCTTGAGTTGATTACGGAAGTTGAATTCAGCGGCTTTCTTTTGAAGTTTAGCAAATTTGTTTTCGTATTTCGAAACCTTTTTCAATGTTGGTTTAACGCTGTATTGACAAAAAAAATTGATGATTATTTTAGATTATTTTTTTGTTAAATGACTTACAATTTGCCTCTTAGGTCGTTTACTTGGCTGTTCAAGTCGGAAATCTAAAAAATTTGTTGATTTATTATTATTTGTTTTATTTAAATTGAAAAAAAAGTTTTAATGAAGAATATAATGGTTTTTATAAGACTTTGTTTTATAAAATTTTGCTTAATTAATGTTTTCAGAATATTTTGGCAAACAAAATTTTGAAGAATCGGTAGATTAGGTAAATTTTTCAGGAATGATGACTGGAATTGCAACACTGTATGTTGTGAAAATCTGATTTGGCCACATTTAGCTGATTACATCATGCCTAAATAGAAGTGTTGAAACAAATGTCATCAATGTAGCAAGATTTTTTCGTTTATATCGAGAGACTTGTGTTGGACATAAATTGCATGCAATAACTCGGCAATATAACTTGTTTTGACAGAATCTATCTCCTCTTGTAACGTAGTCTCAAACAGTAAATCAGATTTTTTTGTTTTGGTTAAGATATCTTAAAAATCTAACATAATGGATCGATTCTTAGTTCTGATTTAAATCTAGCTTGCCAAAAATCTTCAGAAACTTTAAACTATGTCTTGTTCCATCTCATAGTGCAGTTGTAAATCACCGCAGTCAGTCTCTTATTTGAGATAGGACCAATCTCTCAGGCAGAACCTGAAAGGACGTGATCGTTACCCACTTGTCACGGTGATTTATAACTATACTTTTAGTTTAGTCTTATAAAAATCATTGAATAAAAAATAAAAATTTTTAATAGAAGTGTTAAAAGTTATGAAGATATAAAGTTTACAAAGTTAACACTTCTATTTAAAAAATAAGACAATAACAATCATGCAAAAAGTGGTTGGTGATGTGTAACTACGACAAAAACAAAGTAGAAAAAACAACACTGGATAAAAAACAACACGCAGCCAATTTAAGAAGAGAAAACAAAAACAATGACATTAAAATGTGGTTAATAGCTACTAGAAAATTAGTTAACACATAAGGTTTCTGTTAAATAAGAAAATTGAAACTAGAAATATATATGGTTATGCGCGATGCTTAAACATAATAAAGAATAGGTCTATAACAGTATGTAGATATGGAAAGGTGAGGCTCTACTCTCTAATTTTTAAATCGAAGTGGAAAATCTAAACAAAATGCTACATTAATTAAAAAAAACAATGTCAAAAACAAAAGTATGTACAGTATACAGCCCTGGAGAAATATCAAAAATTATAATTATTTCTCGGTGTAAAAAAGACGGATAGAAAAACGACGCTTTTTTTTTAAATGCCGCTGGTCTAAACACAGCTTTATTGTCCCTTATCGACAGAGCATTATACAAAAAAGGCGTAGAAATACAAAAGAAACGGGAACAGAATCTGCCATTAGATACAAAATCGTACGACGAAAACTGATAAAAACAAATAGAGAAAAAAATTAAATGAACATATAACTACTTCTACAAACTCTCTCGCTTTCTACACAAAAAAGTTATCCACAAAAAAATCTGATTAACAAAACAAAAAATATGTTTGGGGGATGATCGTCTCAAGCATGGCGCTTCGAACTTAAACTTATTTTTTTTTTTAATTGTTGCAGGTTCCGAGTCCAGAAGTCGCTTCTTTACGTTTGAGTAGCGATTTGGAACGTCTCTCACTCTCGCTATTTTAATCCACAGTTTAATTATTTTAAATGTACATCCAATTCAGTTTCCGCTCGTAAGCATGAAGGGCCATGCCGTAGAGGTGAGAGGGGAACAAGCAAAAAATCCATATTTTGTTAATCAGAAATCAAAAAAATTTTTTTTATCTAAAATTCTAAAGCTGCAGGATTGGAAAATGGGGTTTGGTTTTGTTTGTCTTGTACATTTTTTCTAGGTATAGGAAAAAACTACTGCGTCATCATCAGTTAAATGTGTGTCTACAAGCTCTCAACGTGATGAAACTATGTACAAATGGGGAGCTGGTTTTTTTACCATGGTTGTGCTGGTTAGTCGTTATTAAAAATCTGTGGAGTTTCTTAATGTGGAGGGATACGGCGTAACACTTCATGTGTTTATATGAATTAACGTAAAAAAAAAACACCTCAAAAACAATTTTTAGGAGGTTACGAGTGAAATCCGGGAATTAAACGTATATAAGAAACTATCTATTAATTTTTTTAAAAAAATTTTGATTAAGATTGTTTCTTATAAATGTTAAAATGGATTTTTTTGATGAGAAGCTGTTAAACTGTCACTCGAACACGGAAGAATTGAGTGTGTCTTTTGGGATATTTTTTTTAAATTTTCGTTCGATCGTAGGACTCTTTTTGTAATTAATACCTCCCAGTCGCGCTTTCGGACTTCGCGTTCCAAATCCCACTTCTGCTCTTCGCAAATGTACATGCGTTTGTAATAATCCTCCAGGATCTTCTTGAGCGTTCCTACAAACAACGGGAATCGGAACCAAATATCAGCACTTTGATTAACTTTAAGCAAAACACTCTGTTCCCTTTTTTTGATAACGATAAAATTTTTGAATAGGTACAATTTTTTTATTTATATACAAAAATTTCTTGTAAAGTGATCTTAAATTACAAATACAAACATTACTACCTAATTATATTGGATGATTTGTTTTTGAAAGAAAATTTCATAAAAATATGTTTCTTATAAATTAATTAAATTATTATTTAGAATGTCATTTGTAAATAATTTAATAATATTTAGAAGATAAAATGAAGTTGAAATCATCTTGTTTACTTATTTGCTTATTCAACATATCTTTGTGATAGAGAATGCTGCAGCTAACTCGAATTCTGCTCATATTAACATATCTTCTAAAATTTATTCACAAAATTTTCCACTAAACTTTTGCAAAATACTTGGGGCAGAGAAAATGGCTAAAATGTGTTAGTGCATCAAAGGTTACATTACATCAGAACAAATTTATAAGGTGCAAACTTATAAGTTGATTTTGATACACTGCAAACTACATATCACTGCATTGGTTTATGGCTATTACTAACTATATCTTTTTCTGACAAACATTTTATTTTCTGGCGAAACTCTCATAGGTTGAGTTGAATTTTTAATAAATTTTAATTGGGCTGTAGAGTACAAACATCTATTCTTCCTTACATCTATATCTAATCAGATAAGGTAGAGACACCATTCTTTCATAGTTTGAAAACATCATTATCTTGCCACGTCACTGCCAAGGTTGAGTGTAGGAAACCAAACCAATAATCAAATATACCACATTCTTTTTTGGAGGTCTTTATAATCTTAAATTACATATGCTGTCATATCTCTCGAGATGTCATAGTTGATCTTATGCCCATCTGTTTTAGTTAAAAAGGTGTCGAAATAAAATTTGGAAAGCTTAAGGCAAAGTATAGAATTGCGATCTACGTCTATCCGGATTATATTTACCAACGCCAAACGAGTGGGTCAAAATATAAAAAAAAATTAAGGTCATTTATATGCACAATGTTATCTTGTATTAACGTAGATAGAGCTACATTGAGATGCTAAAGAGTCAAACAGATGTGGAGTACAGATTCAGTTAATTATCGGTCAGGATTTATCTGCTTAATCATTCTTGACGCTGATTTGGCCATCATGAGTAATATCAAGCAAAGAGATGACAAAATCAATCACCGTCACCTGAGCTGATAACCATGGTTAAATAAATAACTGCCGAAAACATATTGTGCAAGTTAATTCCTTGTCATGGTGGCAATTTCGAAGCATGTCAAAGAATGTTAGGCTTTAGAAGCTAAACATATCTGCTTTTGCAGAACTAATAATTGTAAAATTCTATATAAAAGATTTAATTGAGGGAGCCATAAAGATGAAGGGTTTGAGTAAGATTCTTCCTAAACGATAAACGAGAGAGTCTGATTCTAGTTCAGATGTTATTAATATTTCCTTTCAAGTGATTCCTGTTCTGTATTCTATAAAAGAATTAGGTTGAATGATTTAGTCATCAATCCAGTAAAGTAATTACTTGGAGGTGATGTTACGCCTTGATCATAATCAGTACATTGAAACTGTTAATCCTAAGACAAAATGGTCAATAGTCTTCTTATATGATGTCATTATTAAACTTATTATGACTTATTATTGTCATTGGTTTTTGTATTTACAGTAAACATGCCAAATTTTGAAAAGATGTGACTTTTCATTTTTTCCTGACCATTCCCTTCGTATAACTTGTCTAACAATAAAACACTACATGGTCCACACCTTATATATAATCCCAAAGTTATCAAATGCTTAGCTGGTTTCGTAACAAGCCTCATTTCATATTATTAACGTTATAGCCCAGGTTTACTCAACATTCTTTTAGCAATCAATATTGACAACTTTGGATATTAACAAAATTTTTAGGAAACATATTTACATATATTTTTCATTCGATATCATCCAAAATAATTTCGAAAATAGTAAGGTTTGTATCTAAAATTTAAGAACTACACCAATATTTGCATATCATTTTTCTAAAGCTTTCTATCTATTGAAAATAAATTAATAACCTTATTAATAACATAATATTTCATATTTAATCCTAATTATTTTTTTTTGTATCGATAGATATGTATCCATGGCTGAATTTGTATAAATATATTGATAAAAAGGAAAAAAAAATAGGTTTTAATTTCACCACAGTCTTTGGTGGAGAATAATGTATCTTTTTTTTTCTAAAAAGAGAGTTTTCTTTACCTAAGCAGTTTATGTTTCGCGTAGAAACAACGTAGCTGGCCACATATTTACAATGAGGCCTCCTTAAATAGGCGATCTATTTCGGGATTTTTAAAAATACTAACATAGAGAACTGGGAATTCGGTTTTTTGGGCGCGACCCAGAAATAGATCGCGTATTTATGGCCTGCCCGTAGTTAGATACTAAAGAAAAAATCTCTACTCTGTAAAATTCAATTAATAAAATTAAATATAAACTTCATTCGGATGCAATTTGTATAAGGTGTGAACTAATTCTTTGGTAATGAATTGAAAAAATTAAAATTAAATAAAAATGTTGACTATTTTCTTGTACCTCATACGATTTACATTTCTCTATCCATTCTAGGTCAAATTTATCTCCTTCTAGGTCTTTAATTTTGTTCCAATAAGTTTGACAAATAGTTTGTAGTTCAGCTAGAATAAATATATAATGAATAATCTTTGTTTTTGATTTGAATAAGGATTTTTGGTGGTTTTTCATTTTTTGTTGGTTTCTTTGGTGAAGTGGATTTGGATATTTAGGATGTTTTTTTTAAGCTAAGCATTAAGCCTAAATGTATTTCTAAGAAAACAATCGAGTGAATCTCCCATTTGGACCGTTAAGAAAAAAAATGTGTATGTACACCATTGATATTAAACATATATCAAAAAAAAATTAAAAAAAGGACAAATACAGCGCCTATTGAAAAAAAATAACAAAAATAAAACGAACACGTTGTGCGAAAAAGCTTTTACGCCCTGTGCTTAATCTCTGTTTGAGGCTTATGCAAAACTCTTTAATTTATCATTTAATCGTGTTTCCTTCTACCTGGAAATCTCTGAACTCGACTTCCTTTTCCAAGTCGTATTTCTCATTTTCCAATACCCCGATTCGTTTGTAGTACTGTTCGCAGTACCCTTTAATACTCGCTAGAAAAAGTTTTATAGAAAAAAAGAAAACGGTTAATGATGATTTTTCATATTATTTATAGAGAGTAAACGTGGTTGGGGTTTTGGGGCTTTTCCTCGATTTTCCTATCACCTTTTTTCGAAGTTGAAATAAAATAAAACTAAAAATTAAAATTAATTTACGAAGAAGAAATAATGAAAAATGGGGAATTTATGCAAACGTCCTGATTTTGATGAGAAATCTTTTTTTTTTATTTATTCAGGATGATTAAACGTGAGAGAGAGAGCTCAGAGGTATCTTGTTACCTCATGAACTAAAAATACGATTTGGCATGGTAAACAAGAAGCGTTGCAAGCATGCCATTCAAAAAAAAGAAAAGCCCGCGATAACCGTTTTTTTTAAATTTTATATCTTCTTATTGTTGCTTTATTTTTCATAAAGAAATCTAAAAATTCATGCCGCAATGTTTTAAAACAGGGTGGTAGCGATCCATCAAAACGTCAATTATTAAAATGATTAACAAAAAAAGTAAAAAAAAATTAAAGAAAAAAGAAAGAAAAACTCGAATATAGGCCGTGCACTGATTTGACAAATTGTTACGTAAACGTAGCGGGGCTAACCTCTCCATCTTTAAGGCGAACCAAGTACTCCAAATCGTACTTTAAATTCTCCAAATTGCAGATTTTGTCATTGTAATTCTTGCAGATAGATTTTAGGCTTTCTACGGGGAGAGAAACACCAGAAAAGGTTGCCGTTTAACAATAGTGTACTTTATCAGGACAGAGAGAAAGAAAAGAAAAAAAAAGATGGATCGAGATATATTGTTGTAGTTATTGTTTGTCTGTGATGGAAAAGTTTTTTTTGTTGAGTATTTTTTTATTGAACTGTTTGTGTGTGTATGTGTATTAGAAATTTAAAAAAATCTTATTTATTTCAAAATAACAACCAATTTTAAGTTGATTTTGAAATAAATTAGACTTAATTTTTAAATTTTTTTGATTTTTAGAAATGAAGAGAGAAATGAAGATACGTCTTTTGAAAGAAAAATGAAGCTGGTTCAATCCTACCTTCATTGGCGTCGTCGATGAGTTTTGGTTTTCCGCAACGTTCCTCAATGATGCGTCTACGTTCAGCAGCTTTACGTTCTTGTTCTTTCTTCAATTCCTCAGCGGCTTTCTTTCTCAACAATAACTATATTCGAGAAACAATACGTTGATTAATGATACCTCTTTTTTGATATAACATATTGATTTTTACCCTAAGTTTCTTCTTCCTTTCAGGTGTCATGAAACCTTTCTTGGCCTTTTTAGCTTTGGAGGCCTCTTCCATACGGGCTCTCACCTCGGCCCTTTTGCGGTCGATTTCCGCCTGCTTCTTCTTCTTTTCCTGTTAGAAACATAATTATTTAAATATTGAATTTTGAATCAAAATGAGATGTGGTAGAAAAAAGGTGATAAAACCTGCGTAAGGATTGTACCTCATCGATCTTTTTTTTCTGAAAGAAAAAAAGAAAAATTAAATTAGTTTTTTTATTTTATAATCGATCAACTTTTGAATACGAGAAGACAAAAGTGTTTGTTTTTGCGTAGTTTTTGTAGTTTTATGATAGATGCAAATATGAAAGTTGCCGTAGGATGGTAGAAGGATGCAGAATACATCTCATATCTCGAAAAAGAATGTTTTGCCACAAAGCTAGCAAAGTGTGGCTGCTCGATTTACAACTTAGGGGATCATTAATTGATCTTGGATTTTGCTAATATTACAAAATTGGCAACAAATTTGTTCGAGATTTTGCTGTGTGGAAAAAAATTACAAGATGTTGGAAGTAAAACTGATGTAATTGGACTTAAGAAGAACGTTTACTATTCAGAAGTATTCCAGAAGTCAGCTTTGGGTTAAGTAAGCTTGACAAACCTAACTAAAGGAATTCAATTAGAATGCTAACGTAAAATTCTTCATGACTAAGTCAGGTATGTAGAAAACAGAGGACCATATCAAAACTTGATACAATGCATAAATTTGGAAATGATAAAATGTGTATTGGGAATGTTTGTGAAAGACTTTGCCAAAGCAAATATTAGACAACTTGGACAACCAAGTCAATAACAAAATTTCTTTTTATAGATACACCAGAGGTCTAGCTGTCAATAAAAACGGGATGCATACACTAAACTCTTTCAAGCTATCACATAGATCTAAAAACACAAAGAACTTATAATCCAATGTAACAAAATCCCTATCACAGAAGATTCAATATGCAACGTAAAAGGTCTGATAATACCAATATAGTACAAATAAAAATATGTTGTAATCTCATTATCATAGAAATTGCCATCTCTAAGAATATCAACCCAACCCAAACACTCATCAGACCACCACTCAACTATTTAGCCAACTAGTCATTTATTGAATGCTAATCGATAAACTTGTCCAAATCCAAACCCTTGGAGTAGAACGTAAAATACTCCCACAGCAGCTATAAAATCCGTAAAACGCTAAAATAACCATTCAACAACTCATCCCTCCCATATAACAACAATGAGACAAAATTGTATTCATTACAAATACGCAGGGAGACCGAGAACACCATGGGAAGAGACACTGACGCAGATTGCAGCCAGCTGAAGGAAGACTATGAAGCAGCTTAACGATCTTGCTGAGGAGAGGGGAAACTTTGAAAAGATGGATCCGAGGCCATCTCTCAATGCCACGTTATGGGCACGCTGGGGAAGAGAAAGAAGAAGAAGCAATTGTAGATAACTTGGAAAAGAGAAATAATCATATGAATATGTTTTTATCTTAACAAAAGGCATAACAAAAGTATTGGTTATCCCACTAATCGTCGGCGGGATCCAACAATATATATAGAGTGCATAGAAGTTTCTTATTGGTGCAATATGAACTTTGAAATATGTGGATTATTGCGTTCGGTGTAATATTTACATAAATATGTATATAAAAGATTTAATTGCATAACGATGAGAAAAACGTTGTGGAATTGAACGAAATTGACCAATATCTAGAATCGAACTATGTGAGTTTATATTCTGTTGTGGTGCTTCCTATACATAATGTCATGAAACATTGTGTATAGAATTTGATGATGGCAATTGAAAAAATAGAAGGAGCTGAAATATTTATCATGATTATAAATGATCATAAACAGTTAGAATGAAAGAAATTGGATTTGCTTGGAATTTTCATAATTCCACAGACACAATATACTCATTTTAGTGTATATTTAGTTTAAGTGTATATGAGAAAGGTTTGATGTGTTCTGCCATTTCCGGTTGACCGATTTAGCCCAAAATTAGATGTAGATCTACGATTTTCGTGTAATAGTCATACATCAAACGTCGTCACCACGGTTAATTGCGGTTTTGAGTTATCGTGTTTGTTTTTACTCTTTGATGCAGTACTAAAAATAGTCTAAATGAATTCAGAAGCCATCAAATGGAATATATGATGGATTCGAGAACTTATATAGACGATAGATTGGGTATAAATAGCGATACAAATTTAGAGAGTTAGTAATGAACATTTTTATGTTACTAAGACAGAAAATTAAATTTGTTATAGGGATGTAGAAATGTAGGAGGTAGTTCAACACAATCAGAATGCGCCATGGTATTTAGCTAGCTTGAATTTTAGTAAAATCTATGTTTGTTATGTAACTTTTTATGTTTCACGTGCTAATTTCGTTAAATTTTACTTAAATTTGTTTTTGGACATCCTAATATAAAGAACTCCATTTAAAAACACTTCTTATCTCCTCATATCCAATACCGTTTGAACTTGTTAAGTTAATTTGTGGTTTAGTTATGTAAACTACTAACTACTTTTAAAATATGTCTATTTAAGCTTTTTTTTAGTAATCGTTAAAAATCGAATATATTCTAAAATAATATTAGTACATCGATCATCTAAGTAACTTACAAAGTACTCCAAATAAGTCAATAAATATGCCAAATATCTCTACAGAAGCTATAATAAAGGAACCAAAATTCTACTATAAAGGGAAATAAGAAAAAGTAATCCTTGAAATCCGTTTTACTTGGACCCAGGATCAATTACATTGATACTTTTGGAGCACACTCTGTATAATTACCTTTTTTTTACTTTTTAGTTGTTCATCTCTGGATATCGTAGATTATACTAGAATAAATAGAGAAAACAATAATTAACACTAAAGATAATTTAAAAAAAATGTTATGTTTAAATCCTTACCTAACCTCATCATCCGCCATGGTGACTTTTTTAGTTTAAACGATCTGGAAAATGAAAAATTTAAGTTAATATCCGATCGAAGACAACTTTGGAAAGAACTAGGTACTCAAAGTACTATATTTAGGTAGTTGGCATATAGCCAAGATCGCATGCGCGATTCGCTGGACTATCCTAATTTGGTCGCATGAAACCCTATCCTCAAACTTAAAGAAAAAATTCGATTTAAATAAAAAGAATTTTTATCTTCACTTATTTATCTTATTCACTTCACTAGATTCATTTACTTTAATTCACTTTAACACTTAAACTTTGACGATTTAAAATTGAACAAACATACCTGGACTTTTGGGATGAAGTTGTGACTAGCCAACACGGGCTCCTTCGGCTGACTGTGAAGATTTCGAGGTTCCCAGATTAAAACCACCTCTATCCTTTAGTTTCCTTATCCCTTCCAACTTCGAATAGGGAGAGAGCACCATATAGGCATAGTAGCTCCAGAAATAGATCCACAGGAGACTTGACACCGTCTGCAAAGTTTCCTCCTCCTCCACAGCCTGTTAGAAAACGTAAAAATAACACCTCCACATTTCCACCGAAATAGATTTTATTTGGTTTCAACAACTATTCGAATTGAAATTAGAGATGATATGGGATTATTGAAAATATTTTCGGGTTTTTCAAAATTTATTTTTATTTCTAAAATTTTTTGTTTAACTTCGAACATGTTTCTAAAGAAGGTTGCAACATGGCATATGAAACGTTAAAAATTTTTTCAAAAAACGCACGTCTTAACCCGAAAGTTTCTAGTTAGTTCTAGTGATAGTGCTAGTGTTAGATCTAGTTGTAGTTCTAAAAAAATTAGTTTATCAAGTTTAATTATTAAAAATTGATTATTAATAAGATGTCAAAATGTGAATGAATGAAAATGGGCGATTTTCTTAAATTATTATAAAAAAGTAGAATTCTTTTGAAGGAAAACTAGATGAAGTGAGAAAATCTTCAATAGATGTCGCCTCAATGATTTTCCGTGTAACCCTTCGCTCCACCCCCTTTGTTTAGATTTCGAGGTCGATGCCACCGGAAAGTTCATAGCCTCCCCATTCTATAAATAGAATTGCATTGGGTCCTTGCTGACGTCACAACTATTTTCGCTGTCCTAATTTCAATTAATTAAAATTTTTCGTTACTTAATCAAATTTAAAAGTTGCACCAAAACTTTTTCCCAAAATAATCAACGTCTCAAACAAAATTTTTTGAAAACAAAAGACGTTTAGTTAAAACAACCTTTTTGTTTAATTTTTGTTTTTCTTAATACATTGTTTTTAGTTATTTAATGAGGTTCATCTCATATGCGCAGTAATTTTTCAATAATTTAATTTATTTGTTCACCTATTCCAAATTTAGATTTCATTCAAGAGTTTGTTCATCCCGGTCCTGCAGCGGTCCGCTGACCTACATATCCAGAAGGCCGTGACTGGCGAATGACGTCATCGTTGCGTCCATGGAAACCGAGCCAGCTAGGATATTTGAATTGACACCTTTTAAAGCGTTTACAGTTTGCAAAAACAAAGTTGCCTTGTTCTGATACATTTTCTTCGTTGTACTGCATCAAATTGTATTTATATTTTATGATATAAAAAATAACTTATCCTTGTAAATTCGATAAGATTAGGTATCTCTTTGTTTAGATGTCATAAAGCTCATCATAGAGTCATCTATGACTATGATGAGTCTATGTAAATCTATATGATAAGTCTATGTGAGTCTATATAGAGTCTATATGATGACTATGAGTCATCGATGACTCATCAGAAAGTCTATCTAGCTGAGTCTATATAGAGTCTATATGATGACTATGACACTGTATCATAGAGTCATCGATGACTCATCATAAAGTCTATCTAGCTGAGTCTATGTGATTTTTTTTTTAAATTTTACTGTTATATCATTTTTGTTGTAATATTTAAGGTATTATAATTTATTAAAGTGATGAATAAATAAACACCCGGCGCATCCACCATTACGTTACTCCAATTTCATTCTCCATAAAAGCACAAATTCAAAACATTTTATAATAATTCTAATTTAATAAGTCCACGACTATTAACCTTTATCCTTTATATGTACTTTCTCTATTTCTGCAGCTTGTTTTGTTATCGCAGTGGTCTAAATATAGTTTTGTGAGGGTCCTTGCTTTACCAAGTATTGGGGCCTCGGTGCATGCGTCACGCGGTTGACGAAGAATGGAGGCGCCCGGTAGAGCTCCGTCGGTCCCGATATCCCGGTGACGGTCCCGGGAACCTATGCCGGGGGCGCGCACAGGAGTTTAGAATGAAATTCGTCCTCGGACGGGGCGGCTAACCGGGCCAACGCACCCTGTTTAACCTATTTTCGCCCCACCAGCCGACCTAGTGGCGTGCGTGACGTCGCCTTGACGTCATTTGCGGAATCTGGGACAATTTCATTCTAAAATATCGGGTCCACGGACCAACGAATTGAGCCTACCCTTCGAATGCGGCAGAACATCTTTTACAATATAAGAATCACTTTTTTTATTTCTTCAATAAAAAAGAACTAAGAATGTGGAATATCTTAGTAAAGTTTATGTATACCCATCTCATAAGGGTTGGGTAAACATTTCTAGTTGATGTTGTACAACATTGTCCAATAAACATCCTCAAAGAGAACCGCAGGTACGGTATTGCACCGAGAGGAATGTAAGGAATTTTTATAAATATGTCCACCAGCTTGTGATTTTGCTCTATCTCTTTGTTGCGGTGTATCCAAATTGCGAATTGCTTTTGCCATCATTTTTTATTGACATTTTAAAACAATTTTAACTCTAATTGAGTATTTTGAAAAGATTTTATTGAACCGGCATGGAATTTCCTTTAGATTACGAAGTTACTGGTTAGCAATCGTATTTCAGAACATTTTGTATAAGTATTTATGAAAATAAATTTGAAACTAGAATGTCCCAGGTTGTACTTCCCGGAAGTTTCTAATTTTAGATTTATTTCTGATAACAGCGAGACGTGAAAGCGCTCAAACTTATATAAAGTCTTTATGTTTTTATTTTTCATGTCTGTATTTACTTGTACATAGAATACAAACAAAATTAATGCGAGATTTTGATGGAAACTTCATTAACTATTTCATACTCTCCGAATGATATTTGTTTGAAACAATTTTAGAGCATTTTCATGTTAAAGTTCGATTGGAAGCGTACCAGCATAAAAAAATTGGAAATAAAAGTACATTTATCTTCTTATCTATCAAAGGTGCCGAGTTAAATAAGTTATGTATAGCAAATGAGATTTTGGCGGTTCTTCTAAGCACAGTTCTCAAGCTTTCCACAGTTCTGCTGCCGTATCAATTGCTTATTACGTTTGACATAAATAGAAAGATTTGAAACTCTCATTTGCTGTTATATCTTTCACTTGCAAAAAAAAAGTAGGGATAATGGAAGTTTTCATAATAAAAATAGTTCATAATAGAAATGTAAATCTTATCTTTATTGTATGGACGGTGTTTGCAAAAGACTAGATACAATTGCTGGAGGAATAGATACTGCCAGAAAACGACTAAATATAGGCAAAATACTAGATACTGCTTATAGAAGGTTAAGTACTGCTAGTAAAAGACTAACACTGCTACAGGAGGACTAAATATTGCTAGCAGAAGGTTAAATCTACTTGCAAAAGACTACATAGTGTTGGAAAAATACTAGATACTGTTGGCAAAAGACTAGATCTTCTTGTAAAATGGCAATTACAGCCTTCATGTTCATCACGGTGAATGTTAATTAAATGAAAATGTCTGAGCGTCTTCAGGTACGACGTCAAAAACTAAGAAATTATGCATATGTGAAAACCTCACGAAGTTGCTTTAACTTATAGAATCATTTAATCACAAGCATGTATGTTTAAATGAACTGTTCAAATGTTGCAAGGACAACTTTGATTAACTCTATTAGCACTCATATATCTCTGATCCTAGTATTAATTGTCTCCGTTTGATGCCATGTTTCAAAACGGCCGCAACTAGTCTCTCATAAACGTTCTTCTTAAGTCCAATCACATCAGTTTTACTTTCAACATCTTGTAATTTTTTTTCACACAGCAAAATCTCGAACAAATTTGTTACCTGCTTTCACCGGAGATGCGTAAATTAACTAAAGATAAATGTTTTTTAAGGTTCAACGTTGATTGTTAGAAAAATTGTTTATACTAAAATGCTGAAGGCAGGCGTAAAAGAACTGTTAAGGCTGAAGACTTGATAACAATGAAATTTTGAGCGTTATAAGTCGAAAATTGTGAGCCGTGTGCACATGGCGACAGTTTACATTGGATTTCTGTAAAAGACTGGAACCTGCTGCTGGGGGAATAGATTCCGCTAGTAAAAGACTATATGTACTTACTGCAAGAGACTTGATACCAACACCAAAAGATTAGGTGCAAGGTAAAAAACTAAATACTGATGGCAGAATATCAGATACCAGTGGCGAAATATAAATACGGAAGGCTAAACACTGCTAGCAGGAGATTGGATACAAAGAAAAAACTAGATACTGATGGCATATAATAGGGAAAGACTTGTTACTGCTACTGGAGTACAAGATACTGCTAGCAGTAGGCTAGATCGAAACAGAAGACTAGATACTGTTAGTAGAAGACTAAATCACTTGAAAACGATAGATACCATTATTTTGCAGCTGTCAAGATGCCATAAGAGAGAACTGTCTAAGACGGTGGTAATGCCACCGTGGTAATAGACAAAAGAATAGGAAGACAAAATACCACATTTCAGGACCCAGACACCGAAAGAAGAATTAACAAGGTCTCCACGGATAGAATAGTTAATAGATAAAATTGTTAATTAAGACGACGGATATTTCACGAAAATTTATCAATGATCCATCTTATGTGCCGAAGACTTCACACATATTATAGAATTTATTTGCAATATTTCACTAGATTTACTAGTCAGCATTAACATGGAATCACTTTTTATTCTTGGCTCTTGTCAACCTTGAATTATTATTATATGTCAAACATTAAACCATTGTTTACTTTGATGAAGAATGATGCGGTTTTATCCAATATTTTCCAAGCAAATCAATGTCGTATTCTATATCTCAACATATGTATTGTGGAAACTAATCAGAAAGACACTACAGGTCGCTAACATTCCAAACTAGGAGAGCTCATCATATACTGAAAGGAATGAAAAATAAAATTATTAGCAAATAAGTTACTTACTGATAATCGATCATTAATAAGAATGTTAAAGAAAAGCTTCAGCCAGACAAAATAATCATGGAAGTGACTGATTATGTAAATGGATCAAGATATGCTTATAATAGATTTTTTCGTCGTCCGACACCAATTAGGCAAACACTACGGCGTTTAGCCACTCGTCTTGAAGAGTATGG